GGAAAAATTACCTGTAGCCTGAGGACATAGGGTGAGCCGTGAATACAGTTGAAATTTTTTTTCAGCGAGGTTTGTATGCAGCCTCCATTGGCCAAACTGGGCTCTGTTCTCTCTTTTGCAGCATTTTAAAGTTCTGAGCCCTGGGTGTACTTGAGAATGCCCAGGATATCCTCTTTATGTTCAGGGATAAACCTGGGCTTATCCAGGAACTTTTGGTCTGAAGCCCAGGTTTATCCCTGAACATAAAGAGGATATCCTGGGCATTCTCAAGTACACCCAGGGATGCCCAGGATATCCTGGGCATTCTCAAGTACACCCAGAACTTTTGCCACTTTTAAGGAGAGGCAGCTTTTCTTATGGTCTTGTCCTGTATTCAGGCATCAGCCATTTCTACTCTCAAATTGCTGACAGGTGTGTGAAGGTGGGGTGGAGCACCTTTAAGACAAGGAGGACCTTTCCTGGGCTGTCCAGTAAGGGCTCTGGGCTCAGCTTTTCCTTACACCTGCAATGCTGCAAATCAATTTTTAATTTCTGAAAGGACAGGTTTTCTATTTCTATAAAGATTTGTGCTTCGCTAATTCCCTTTTGGTAAAAATGTTCAGGTTTTTGTTTTCCTCAGCTCTTCCTCTTAATGAGTATTAGGATATTGAATATTAGGAAAGTGAATATTAAAAGCTTTCTAGAGCCCAGACGAAGCTCCTTAAAAGAGCTTTGTTTTTCATTGGATAACAACCAATTTTAGGTCTAACTTTCCTCTGTCATCTAAAACTGGAAGATAGTATATTGGTTTTAGAATATGGTCAGTGAAGAACATATTTGCAAAAAGCTCTTTTGTATTTACTTTCCATCTGTGATGAAGGATTTGTAATTAGAATAACTAACCACAAGGGGATGTGTTTCTTTTCACTCTTAGAATAACTAACAAGTTTATGTAGTTTATGCTGGGTTTTTTGTTTTTATTCAAGACGACCAAAGAATAAAATTACACAAGAATATTGTGATATTTTTGTAAATAATTTTATTGACTCACAAAACCAAATCAACAATATTATATACGCGTACAAGATGCGAGGTACTCTGTTAGGCTGTTCATTAGTAGACTCTATACTCTATGTCTTTGCAAGCCACTTGTAGAGAAAGGTGCTTGAAATTTTGGGTGATCTCTTAAAATGAGTAATTTCAGAAGGGTTTATGTTGAATTAGTCTTTCAAAAAATAACTACTGTGTCTATTTTTTAATGAGAAATGCAATACTACCAAAAATATGTTAAAGATATTAGTCAATGTTTATGGATCTCACACCACACTGTTCAAACTTCTTCAGAGATATTTTCACTTTTCATAAATTCTGCTAGACTTATTAATAATGGGTACATGTGGACTGAGATTTGAAAATATATTTTCTCTATTTTTTAACATAGCATATGAGTATAGGCTTCAACTTGCTTAAAGAAAGTTTACTTAAAGTAGGTAAAGAAAGTAAGCTAAGTAGTATTTCATGAAGAGTTCCTGGTAATGCACCAAAACGTATGAGCAGATATCTAGTACTAGATACTAGTTAATAACTAAAAATGATGGCAGAAAAAATTGGGCAAAATTAGGAATTTATTAGCTACCATAACTGAGAAGTCTATGGATAAGGTCTTGCTGGCTTTCTTTTTGGACCTGTTTGTGCTCAGGATCCTCAAAATAGCTCAGAGCACATGCAGAACCATAATTTGAAAGTGTGTGTGTGTGTGTGTGTGTGTGTGTGTGTGTGTGTGTCTTCCCACTGAAAATAGAATAAAATCCAAACTGGCTTTCAGCACTACTCAGGATCTGTATGCTCAGGTTCTCTTTAATCTCTTCAAAATCAGCTCACTAGCCTCTCTTCCTTTTTCTTACATTTCAGCCACACTGGCCTCTCTTTTATTCTTCAAATGTGCTGAGTCCTTTTCCACCCCAAAGCCAACCAGGTAGCCTCTGTCCAGAATACTATTCCCCCAGCACTGCACAAGGCCAGCTTCTCTCATCCTTCAGGTCTCAGCTCAGGTCAGGCCAGTGTTCATTCTCTCTTGTCTCTAACAAATGAGCACTTGCTCCTTCCCTACTCATTTCCTTCTTAGCACTCATCACACACTGTTCTTATTTGTTTTCTTACATAGAGATTGTCTTCCTAACACGAATGAAAGTTCCATAAGGTAAGGACCTTATTTTTATGGTTCACAGATATATCTCCAGTGCTTAGATAACAATAAGCACTCAATAAACATTTATAGAATAAACAAATTACTTTTAATTATCAAGCAACACAGAAATTTACAAAGATGAAAGCAAAAGTATTTTTAAATCATCCCCAACTCCACTACCCAGATATGGTAAGTGTTATCATTTGGTGAATGTTATTCCATCTTTTTTCTCTGGGCATTAAAGTTACATAGATATAATTTTACAAAAATGCAATGACACTATATATTATTTTTCTTTTTTAGATTTTAATTTATTTTTACTTAACTTTAACAATAAAATAATGTGAAATGAAGCTAAAGGAATTAGAAATCATCACATTTTTATTCACAAGACATTGTTGCCCCTAATAGATCCTTCTAAAATTAAGAAACAAGATTATGATAAATATTGAGGCTTGAATCGATGTTTTGTAACTACATGTTCCAATTTGGGGCAGTTTCTATCATGTTTTTTTTTTTTTTTAATTATCTGATATCATTTACATTTTATTCCATAACCATAATCCCACAATGGATATTTTTGTTTTATATGTAAATGGACCACCTTCAGTTCTTTTATTTTTACCACTTTATTAATGAGTTTTTTTTTTTTTTTAGTTTGATTACTCTCTTGCTTGACTGGATTTTTGGCCAAGGGAATTTTTTAAGGATATTTTTTGAGTTTTTGCTGGGGAGTGTCAGGCTTTGGCCTTTATCAGCACCAGCGTGGCTCTATATAATATTTTTGGCCATGTTTTTGTTCTCAGCCTTTTTTAGATATCGCACACCACCATTGTCTGGCATTGGATGTCACAGATAAGTCTAAGGTCATTGTCATCATTCCCGTTTTTCTGTCTGGATGTGAATATAATTCTTTATCCTCTATGTTTAGGAATTTTACCAGAATATATATTGGTGTTAGTTCTTGTCAATTTTTCTTGCCATGGCTTACTCTAGTTTCATCTCCCACTGCTTCCTTGCAGGGGGCACGCCCACCTTGCCAACTATTTGCCCTTCTGTGACCTCACTATGTTGCTCTGGCTTGGCACAGGCTAGTGAAATTCTCTCATCCCTACCACACTCTACCATTTGCTGCTACTCATTCTATCATATTTAGCTCAAGCATCTCCTCAGTGAAGACTTCTTAGAGCATACTTCTCAGGTGACCAGCTACTTCCTCCTCTACCCCCATGAAAAGTAACATCCCTTGCATGACATTTGGCACTACTGTCTCACATCTAGGACTATGAGCTCCAAGGGAAGGGCCACTTAGTTTACATCCGCATAACTACGCAAACAATTTAAAACATCTAGGTAAAAATTTGCAAAGGTTGAATGGATAGTATGCCGACAAATTACTGAGCAGCCAGGAACCAGGAAACGTGTAAATCTGATACAGTTCGAATGCTCTGTTTAAGGAACAGTAATCATATACTGGATGGCGGAGTAAAGTGTTAAAGAGAAGCCTAAAGGTGAGCGATTGGAAAAGCCCATTTCCACAACTCAAGTAACAAGTGTCCAGGAGAGTCCGGCGTCTGCTCTCTTACACCTTCCCGCTCTTGTCTAAGGAGACTGGCATTCATGGCCAGCCCTGTTTCCATTTACTGACACCTTTATGTCACACAAGCCTCCGCAACCGACTTGCCAGTGAAAACTAAGTTTTTCGCCGAGTCACGGGCAGGTGGAACCCAGTGGGGGCGGTGCAAGTTCTGCGCATGCCCCGTGCGGGCGGAAAGAGCCATCAGGTTGCGCCTGCGCGCTTGGTCAACCTAGAGTCTCCGCCTCTGCGGCCAGGGCCCAGGAGCTGCGAGCTCGGGCGGAATGGTGATGCGCTGCCAGGTAAGGGTGGGCAACCCTCCCGACATTTCTGCCCCACGCCCCATTCCTGCCTTCACCAGACTCAGCTGGACCCCTCTTCCTACTATCCGCACTTTGGCCGGCGCCTTACTTCTGGGGCCGCTTTGCTCCCGCAGCCCCAGCCGAGGTCAAATCCGCTCTCTGAACTTAGTTTTCTGATGACGACGTCCAGAACCGGCACCGTCTCGACCTTTGCTCTTGGTTCTCAGATTATTCGTTTTGACAAAGACAAGTTTTCAATTTAACTAAGAATTCTATTGACGTGTGCTTCATCTTTGCATTTGCAAAACCTTGATTATTTGCAACTTCTGATTATTTCGTAGAGAATAATTTTCACTTAGTGTCAGGTGGGTTATCTTACTTGGTCGGATCCCTTAGATACCAGGCCGACTGCATAGGTTTGTTTTAGGGAATATGCCAGTTTATCCTATATTTCAAACTCACCTGCTTTTATAAATGTTAGTGGTTTTTTTTCCCCCATTATGTAACTTAATCCTTATCAGTGTAATGTAGCTTAGATTTGAAGGTCATAAGACAACCGTGAAAAACGTTTTTTTAACTTTTTGGTCATTTATTTCTGTAATTCATCTTTTTTACTCAGACATTTGTTCACTGTTTAAGTGTTTATAACAGGTGCTGTAATTTATGTCAGTTAAAGACTAACATCATGGTTTCTAAGAAGATGTTTGGATTTTAGTTGTGGTACACTTACGTTTGTAAAACTAGAAAGCATCCAGAAACTTAGTCTGAATTGTACTTAAAACATATACATTTTTCGAAATTTGAAATTGCAGATATACTGAAATTTCTATGGGTGATTCGTCTCTAACTTATATCATTTGTCTTTGATTAAAGTACTCCATTTGGCAAACAAAACAGCGTGGACAGTCAGAAAAGGACTATGAGTTGTTGTTAAAAGCATTTTCTCTCCTTTCAGGTTGAAGTGTTGTATTTTGCAAAAAGCGCGGAGATAGCAGGAATTCGTTCAGAGACCATTTCTGTGCCACAAGAAATAAAAGCACTGCAGCTGTGGAATGAGATAGAAACACGACACCCTGGGTAGTTAAAAATTTGTAGAAATCATATGATTGACACTTTCTAATATTTAAAAAATGTGTAAGTGAATAAAGAATAAAAGTAGGAAAGTTCATTTTGATTTCTTTGCTTAACGTCAAAAAGAGTCCACAGTTCTATTTTTCTGGAATTGAAAACGTGAATTCTAGTATTGAAAGTGAACAGTTCCTTAGGGAAGGTTAAACATGTTTTGCTGAAAAACACAGTGATCTAGGATACTCCCAAGGGACATGATTATGTTTGCTTTTGTAATTTATAAAATACTGAAAATAGAGATTCTGCATTTTTATAACATTAAGTGAAATTGTTAAAAATGTGCGCTTGAAACTTTTATGTCCCTCTTTTTCTTTAGAGAACTTTCTAAAGAAATGTGCGCTTTAAACTTTTATGTCCCTCTTTTTCTTTAGAGAAGTTTCTAAGATTAGAAGAAAAATGAGATAAACCTTAGCTGCTTTTTGAATTTGTGCAACATCTGATTTTTTTCTCGTATTGAAAATCAGTAATTTTACTGCTGTTGTTCTTGCCTCAAGTTCTTTTTGGAGTAAAGTATAAAAGTGGCTTATTTGAAGGTGTTTCAGGAATAGTAATAGTCCACGTAGATGTTTAATTTGGAAATCCTAGTGCTGTGTGAAAGATATTCCACAATGTATGTTCGAGAGGAAAACTGGTCCTTCTTGATTTCACATTTTTTAAAAAATTAAAGTGCCCTGATAATCAGTGACACATAGTGGGGCCTCTTTTCCACTTTATGCTTAATCTCTTACCTGCTGGGAGACACCTGGTCTTATGGGAAGCTTTTGAGCTATACTTAGTATACTAAGGACAGAAGGCTCCTCGGATTAGGAAATTTTTTTTTTTTTTTGACTTGGTTTGAAGGTTGTCTTCAGTCTAGTACTTTTTTCTTTTTTTTTGTTTAATTTTCCAAGATAAACACTATCCAATAAAGAGTTGTTAGCGGTTTACTGTGTTCTTTGTGGTGAATAAGTATCTCCTTCAGTGGATATGTCCTTTCTCTGCAGAATATGAGTTACTTAAAGTAGCAACTTTGCAGGTGGTGCTTCATAAAGTAATACTTATGTATTAGTTTTAATTGTAGCTTAAGAAATTTGAGGTCTAACACAGCATTGATACTTCTCATTATACTTTTTCCCTTTCAGATTGGCTGATATCAGAAATCAGGTGATATTTGCTGTTCGTCAAGAGTATGTCGAGCTTGGAGATCAGCTCCTCCTGCTTCAGTCAGGAGATGAAATTGCCATTATCCCCCCCATTAGTGGGGGGTAGTGTTTTTGAGCCACTTGAGTATGTGAGAAATGTTTTTCTTAACCCATCTTGTGGAGAAGGAACACACAGATGATAACTTGTACATGATTTGCTGTAGATTCTAAGTCTGTCTGCACCAGCTCTTTATTAAAGCAGCAGTTCTTTATTGGTGCAGATAGACTTATAACTACCTATCATCTCTGCATGAATTCTGTTTTAAGAAATTTAATATCAGTTTGATATATTTATCCTATTCATTTAACATGGTTTATTGAGATTTTATTATGTGTCAGGCACTGCGCTGGATACTAGAGCATTAATATTCCTATTTTTCAGAAAGAAAAACTGAACTTCAGAGAACTTATAAAACTTGCCTATGATCATGTAGCTAATAAATGGCAGCGCCAACATTTGAACTCAAATTACTGGACTTTTTCTATACTTTTCACAAATAGGTTTCCTAATACTGGATAATAGCTCTCCTGGGCACAGAGAAATGTAGAAAGGTTGAATAGCTAGAAAATAAAACGGTGACTGCATAAAAAGAAAACTTAACCATTTTCCAGGTATATAAAGAAACAGCTTTATTATTATAGCTGTGTCGCAGGTGGCTCTAGAAGCCATGTCATCTCTCCATTTTTCCAATGTAGTCTGTATCTGAGTGGGATGATGTATAAGAACATTTCTTAGTATAGTCTGGAGAGACAGAATGAAGCTTAATTTATTGTCCACTAAAGAAGAAATAATATAGAAATGAACAATTGTGCCTAATTTTAAAATCTTGGTAAGTTAAGAATGAAAGAAAACTTTCTTAATTTGATGAGACTTTTCTCCAGAACCAAGAGTAAATATACTGAATGGTACAACCTTAGTTTCATTAAAGGAACAAGCCAAGATTTTTTTCCTGTGCTCTTCTGCAAGTCAGTGCCCCCAAAAGTGAAGATTAAATATTGCAAGTCAAATTGTCCAGCATGTCCATAGAGATTGATTCTTCATCTACAATTTGCAAATAATAGAAAAATTCCTAGTTAAATATGTGTCTCAATTTTATTTAGAAACTGTGGCCACCTTATCATTACAATTATTTTAGAAAAGCTATTTTTCAGAGTTTGGAGTTCAGAAAACGATGGGCTGCCATTAAAGGTTGTGTGTGTGTGTGTGTGTGTGCGTGTGTGTGTATGTGTGTGTGAGCAAGAGGGAGGGAGGGATGGAGGGAGAGTGTGCGTGTGTGCGTGTGTGTGTGTGTGTGTATGAGCAAGAGGGAGGGAGTGAGGGAGGAAGGGATGGAGGGATATAGAATTATAGCTGTTCTTTGGAAAGATTAGGAAGTTTATTCAACAGTATTGAGTATTTGAGTGTGTTTGATAGGGTTTACGACATGTAGTTTTAGAATCTATGTCCTTGTAGAATCTAGTCATGGGAACTTGGTATGGTTTGAAGTTCATAGAAATTCAATGGAGATGAAACCTCACAGGATTTATGATTATATCCAGACGCCTCATAGCCTGCAAGGTCCGACCTATCAGCCCATCCTCAGCTAATCTCTTTCGTACTTTGCTCCCTGAGCTCTTGGCCTCCCTGTAGTTTCTGGAGCTTGCCATGTTCTCTCTTGTCTCAGAGCCTTTGCATTTCCCATTCCCTCTGTCTCTGCCTGGGGATCAGTTCCTATTTCTTTACAGGGCTGCCTTCTCATCGTTCAGGTCTCACCTCTACCTATTACCTCTTGAGAGAGGCCTTCCATAATCCTCTTCAGTAGCCCCTACCCCAGCCCCCATGCTCTGTCTCAGAGCCCCATTTATTTCCATAACCTACCCTTACTTGTAATTCCTATTGCTTTGTTTCTCTCATTCCGGTATAAGCACCCTAAGTACAGAAGGCAGGTCTTTTGTTCCTTCTTTTATATCTAGTATGTGAGTTTAGCCTTTGGCACTTAGTGAGTATGTAGTAAGTGGTTGATGAATAAATGAGAAATGCATGGCAAAAGGTTTGGTACAACATCTGGTGAATAGGTGTGCAGTTCATTCTTTTTATTTCCTCAGTTATCTACCGGTTTGTGCCCTGTCATGAAATGAATCCAGTGTCTGTGGAGTCACCATCACTCTTGCTTTCCCTTGCTCCTTTTTGTATAAAGGAAAAGGCAGTTTCTAGGTGTTATGCTTGGTAGTATAGTGGTTAGAGGTGATGTTTGTGTGGATGATGTCAATATCTGAATCATACTATGATGGGAGATCAGAGTAGCAATTCCAGATTTGGAATAAATTGTCAGATAAGATAGATTATATTTTAAGTGATCATATAAATGGCAAATTCCTTTTTGTATCATTCTTAATTCATTAGGGATATTTATGAATATATTGGGTTTTGCTAAAAATTTACACTTGCTTATTTTTATCTTTCAAATCATGCTTAACATTTCTAAAGTAGAAAAAATATGAATCGAAACACAGCCTCTAGTACAATGTTAAGGTTTATTAATATCTTATTTCTAGGAAAGATATGAATGAAGTTGAAGAGAAATCTAAAGATATAATAAAATTTACTGCTAAGAAACTTTCTGTAGATGAAGTCTCACAGTTGGTGATTTCTCCACTCTGTGGTGCAATATCTCTGTTTGTAGGTGAGTTGTAATTTTTCCAGCATCTATCGACTGTACTAGACTACGTGTTCAGTGTTAATAGAGGTTATTGAGACACTGAGCAGTAACCCACGGTGGTAGGTAGAAATAATTTTAGCCTTTGTTCTGATTTAGTAATCTTCAAATTAACATATATTAAAGGCATTTTTTTTTAAAAAAGTAAGATAAAAGACATTATTAGAGAGGTTTCTGTATTTTCCAAATATTGAGAGGAAAACGGTGATAATAATAACTTAATAATACTCCTGGGAACATAATGTTTTCCTTTTAAGTGTCAGGTACTGTTAGTAAATATATCCTGGTTTGTCATGAGTGTTTCTTTTAGCATAATCATTGCCATTTTATTTTCTTCATGATAATTATCTTTTGTTTTTTTAATCAAGTTTTAATTTTTCAAAAATTTCAAAGTAATTTTTAGACAAATTAGTATGCTACTTGTCTATTCAAAAATAATCCTTTTTTATTCTATTAATGTGCAATACTGTTAGTAAATATATCCTGGTTTGTCATGAGTGTTTCTTTTAGCATAATCATTGCCATTTTATTTTCTTCATGATAATTATCTTTTGTTTTTTTAATCAAGTTTTAATTTTTCAAAAATTTCAAAGTAATTTTTAGACAAATTAGTATGCTACTTGTCTATTCAAAAATAATCCTTTTTTATTCTATTAATGTGCAATTTCTATTCTAAGGATAAACCTTACCTTAATTGCCTTTTTTTTTTTTTTTAGGGACAACAAGAAATAACTTTGAAGGGAAAAAAGTCGTTAGCTTAGAATATGAAGCGTATCTACCAATGGCGGAAAATGAAGTCAGAAAAATATATAGTGACATTAGACAGAAATGGCCGGTCAAACACATAGCAGTGTTCCATAGACTTGGGTATGATTTCTTTTATTAGTTTAAAAGTTAAGTATAATTGTTTTCTCCCTTGGTACTAATCCTGACTCTGGAGTCTGTCATAGGAGTCCTATATTAAGGTGAGAGGAAGTTTGCCTGTTATTCTGGGAGACAATGGAGATACCTCCCCAAGTGCCTTTAAGGCTGCTTATTGTGTTGTAATACTTGGGGAGGGCCCGATGCTGTAACAGAGTCCATGTGTGCTGAGGCTTTTGGGTCCTGTGCTCTTGTGCTAACATGTGCTAAAGGCCTCGAGACCTTTTAAGAATTATTTTGTTGTCTAAACTCTGTTTATATGATAGTCTGTTAAGAAATTTTTTTAATGTAAATGCCTTTGAAGGTTATTAAATTAGTTGACCTTTTTCTACCTCTAAGAAGAGTGGAGCTTTAGGCTCTAAAAAGATTGGAACTATATCCGTCTAATTTATTAGTTATTATTTTGTTATTAATGAATAATTTTATTAATGTTATAAATTTTATTATTTAACATTTATTACTATTTAATATTTTAAATTAACATTATAAATATAACATTATATTTGTCATTTAGTAACTTTGTTTTCCTAGGCATTACCTGGCACTTGTTTGTTTGAATCAGATGTTTTATTTTCTTCATGATAATTATCTTTTGTTTGTTTGAATCAGATGTTTGTTGAATCAGATGTTTGTTTGTTTGAATCAGATGTTTGTTGAATCAGTGAAAGGTCCTTTTCTTCCTGGTACCCATCCAACAGGTTTAGTGAGTAGATAGATGCTAACAAGTTAGCCACACCCTCACATCCCCCTTGCTGAATGCAGCTGGGATGAATTCTGTTTTGTAACTAAACTGGGTGTTTAGATAAAACAGAACTGAATGTTTAATTTTAAGAGTGCTTTACTGGAATTTTTGTTTCATATGTACTAGATTCTTTAACTAAGAGAAGATGGTAACTTTTCCCCTTCATTTTATTAAAGCTTAGTTCCAGTGTCAGAAGCAAGCATTATCATTGCTGTGTCCTCAGCCCACAGGGCTGCATCCCTCGAAGCTGTGAGCTATGCCATTGATAATTTAAAAGCCAAGGTGCCGATATGGAAAAAGGTAAGAAAGTACATAATTTTGCTTTTGGGCATGATTTTTCTGAAGAATTTTTAAAGGATAAGGTGTAAGAGTACATACAGAGTTTGTATTCATGGGTCTTCTCTGACTTGATAGAATTTTGTTTTTTCTATCTGTGAAAGAGGGTGTTTATGTAATATATTTTTCCAGGGTTTGTTAAGCATGAAAAATAGATGTCCCAAAGAATATATGGCACGAAGTAGGCCTCAACAAGTGGTAACAATTAGAATTCCTAGCTTGGACTGTTCCACTGGTTCATAGACTAGACAACTTCCCTTGGATTGGAATTCCCTTGAATGAGAGAGAAGGTTTTTCCTTTGGAAAGTGGGAATAGTGCATGGCTTTTAGGCAATGGCTAAAAGATTGTTCGAAGCAAAAACCTTCTCCCAGATCTCTTTCCTTTTAGGAAAAGAAAATGGTGGGGTATTGCTTCCTCTGAGAAAATGCATAGTGAGTGAATTTAAAAACAAATAGGAAATTCTACCTTGTTTTTTGTCAATACATCAAACCCATCAATAAGAACAAACCATTCTCAGGTTAAATAGAGCATTCCGAAGAGATGGAAAGGCCCAACTCCCTAATTTCTCCCCTGGTGTTGTAACATCAACAGTGGGATTGGTCTGTACTCTCAAACGTATAATGACACTTGAGTATAGAATTGCCCCCAGCATTGATGCTGGTAGCAAAGCTGAGGAATGAATGAACTGCCCCGTAGGGCAGAAGGCCAGAGTGGAGGACCAGAAGGCCAGTGCTAGAATTTCTAGGAGCCTCAGTCAGTGATAGAGATGAGCAAATTGGACTCAGACCAAGGCCTATGAAATTTAATGACCATATTTTTTGACTAAAAACTGAAGCCTGTTGTTATGAGCGGAAATTTTGAGATCAGAGGACAGGATATGTAAATGAGCTCAGATATCTGCTTGCTTGCTATGAACAAGGCTGCTGCAATTTTGGTAGACTCTAAGGAAAACCCCTGAAGGGGGAGAGGTCGGAGAGCACTGCAAAGTGAGTTAGGGGCCTGGGTGGTGTACTCTCAATTTCATGTTTTGAGAACAAGTGAGGCTTTCTGTGTACTATTCTATCTTTTGAAGGTGGGGGTGGAGTTGTAGGTGTTCAGAGAACAATTGAATTTAGATTCCTATCCCTACAGAAATAGAACTGACTAGAGAGTGAGAAGGGAAAGTAATATGTTCTTATTCCATTCCTTTCCAAAAATGACCTAAATTCTAGTCTGGTTCCAGTGTCAGCCTGTGCTTTGAGGTCATCCGTGATAGGGGCAAGGGGTGGGCAGGTAGGGAGGCCACGGACTTACACAGCACTTGTCACCGGAGTGCAGCTCACACCTATCTGAGAACTTCTGTGGGCGGTCACAGCTTTCATAGCTAATGAAAATATCCCTTCTGCCTTTGAAAAAGCATATTTAAAAATGTTGAAGTAGTAGGTATGCTTGGAAAGAAGAAAATGTTTAAAAATGTTTACAACTAAAGACCATCTATCGTGCCTACGTGACCTTGCCCAGGCTAGCTCCTGTCTTTGTCCAAAATGGGATTCATTGTTTATTCTGTTCTGTGGTTGTACCTTTTCTCGTTAAGGCTTCTTGTCTATTGTTTCTCCTACTGGATTGGGAGTCTTTAGGTGCAGGGAACATGTTTATTTATTTTTCTTCTCTCATCGCCTTACATAAATGTTTATTTGATTGTTAAAAGAGGAGCAGATTTAAATAGTTGTGTTATTCGTTTGCCTTCATTATTCAAATATATTTACATTTATTAAAATGCTTAATTTTGAATACCTGTTATGATTCTGTTTTTAGGAAATGTATGAAGAATCATCATCATGTTGGAAAAGAAACAAAGAATGTTTTTGGGCAACCAGTGATTAAATCACTTATGTTTTTAGAGTCCTAAAATTTTAATTTTTCTCCAGAAATTAAGATAGTTCACTGAAACGTAATCTCTTATGTTACACCAGTGGGACAAAAAGGAGGAAAAAAAGCAAAATAAATGGGTGTTTAGGATGAGGTCTTACACTGGAATTAGACGTAGGGGAAAGATTTTAGGGGAAAAAAATGGAAGAATAATGTAAATGTGAGCAAAGACGCCTGTAGTAGACATATTATTCTATGACTAAATCTGATTGTGACTTGACTCACTGAGATGTGGCGCCTCCTCACTGACTTTGTCCCTGACCTTGCCCCCATGGCCCCACCCACACATCCAGTCCTTGTTATCAGGGAAGCATTACCGGAATGTTGACAGAACTGGAATGTACAACGCATCATTATCAAACAGTCTTGATATGATGTATTTTTAGAATTTATATATTTAAAAAATAAGTCAAATAAACAATTTAAAAGGTTTAAAAGTATTTTTTCTGTTTTTTAAAATTTAGTGATATTACCTAAGACATGTATTTCATTATATGGAAATTTCTAGTATTTCATAACCTATCATCTTACCAAAATACTTATTGTATTTTATCAGTTATTAATATTGTTTGAATATACGGATCAGCATAAAATTGTAAAACCAGGCAAACTGACTAGCAACAGGCTTGGTTTGTGTTACAATATTAGTTGATATTTAAAATTTGACCCACAATCAATTAAGGAAAATCAAATGGTTATTCATTGAAGTATATTCAGATACTTTTCATTTTAGTTGCTTATGTAACATCATTAGCAAAGTCATTAAAAAACAGATTTTCTGCAAAATACTAAACAAGATCCAATTTTTGGTCAACCTATGTACTATCTTGGTAGAACTGAGTATACAAGTTCCATATGGTTCTTAATATAATTTTCGGCAATTGACATCACAAAATTTGCATTATGCGTATTGGGAACAGAGAGTACTCTCAGACACTTAGGTTGATTTTTTTTGGTAATATTTCTTACATCAAAAACATTTTTTGCTTAAGGAATTCATTTTTGCAACAAATATTGAACACCTGGTCTATGTGGGGCATGCCGCTGGTGGTCCTCATCTGCCAGCTTACACAGCATGAGGAAGAGTCTGCATCTTGTCTTTGCTTGGGAGCCTCACCAGGTTAGGAACTGGTAAATGCTGCCTGTGCCTGCGCTGTCCAGAGAGATTGGGCCAGAAGGATCCTGAAAAGGTAGACAGACCCTCACCTATCACTCCCTTACTGAAACGGGGTTGCCTGTCTGGTCTCAGCCTTACCCTCTCTGAATTCAATGCTTCTTTCTCCCTTCCATCAAAGTTTAGCCTTTTCCCAGGGCTGGAAGCACATTATGGATTTACTGGCCCACTGTAGATATTCCAAAGAATTGTACCCATGTTAATATGTTTATTATGTCATATATGTTAATATGAGGTATATTTGGATTTCAGGATTTTCCTACTGAATATTTTTTTAGAGGATCTTTATTGATGGTAATTATCTTAAAAAAAAATTTTTTTTAAACATGATTTTAAAGAATAATGCCTTCATTGAGTAGGCTTTATTTTAAGTCTGGAACACAGACTGTTATGCTTTTGACTCTCCACTATACAAGTTAAAGAGTTAATCTGAGATGTGCCGAAACTGGGACGGAATGTCCCTGAAAATTTGTAGTGCATCGCATTGGACTTAAACGTGGTCTTCATTGATCCTCACTTTTTTAGAAGTGGCAGAGTTAATTGGAGGTTGAGATATTAAGAGGTTAGCATCGCTCTGACACGGAATTTCTGTCTGTAACGGGGCTGCTCAAGTAATTAGGAGAGTATCTTAAAAAAAATTAGCCTTTAAGCAGATTGTCTGTAAGGTTTTAAAGTCACTTAGGAACTGTGGCTTTATATGATAGATAAATTCCCTCAAGAAATAGGACATTCAAATTATGGTGTAAGTATATTTCAACAGGTAGAAAAACGAGAATTTTATCTTCTTTGAAAGTAACAGCAGATGATGAGTGAAGTATTTTGTGATTTTGTGGATATATTTGTCCTTTGGATATGATGTTTAGAGTCACAGTATATTTTCAGTATATTGTGCAAAACAGTGATTAAGAAGCCAGTAGTTTGAGTCTCCATCTCAGGTCCCTGAATGAAGCCATTGGAGAATTAGAAAACAGATTTCTGGATATCTTTTGAATTAAGTCACTTCTCCCTAATTCCACTGCTACGTCTGTTGTCCAAGCTCCCACTCCATTACTCTTGGACTATTGCTGTGACCTGCTGACACCTGCCCCTGCCACCACTCTTCCATCTCCTACTTAGGCCATTTCATCATCCTGCTCAGAACCTTCCGATAGCTAATCACACCCTAGAAACTCATAGCCCTGCTCCTTACCTCCTCTCTTGCTCCAGTCTCCCTGCTTTGCTGTAGTTGGTATGTGGCAAGCTTTTTCGGCCTTAGGGCCTTTACCTGTTCCTTGGTCTAGGATGCTCTTCCAGATATTCCTATAATCTGCTTCCTCCCTTTATTTCAGTCCCTAATTAAATGTTACCTCCTCAGCTGTCTCTATTTAAAACTGGAATCCTGTTTTCTTGCTCTGTTTTATATTTAGTTGTGGCACTTACTGGTATGTGATGTACTGCATCTATTAGTTTATCTCCAGAACATGCACTTAAAAGTGCTCAGAAGTGCTGCTGATGTTAAGTATTGTGCCCCAAATTATACTCCTGTGACATGTAGTTATAGTGCTGTTTATAGATGCACAGACATATCTGGCTAAATGAGTGGATAGTTGCAACTTTTCTCCTCCACTCCCTTCCCTCCTACCATTCTATGACATCTTACATAGTTACTAAGCATTGAGTATGTTAAGAAATCTCAGTGGACACTTAGGTTGCCTCTACACCTTGTCTATTGTAACAGTTCTGCAATGAACATAGGGGTGCATTTAGTTCTTTAAATTAGTTTTCATTTTCTTTGGATAAATACCCAGAAGTGGAATTGCTGGATTGTATGGTAGGTCTGTTCTTAATTTTTTGAAGAACCTCCCTACTGTTTTCCATAGTGCCTGCACCATTTTACATTCCCATCAGCCGTGAGTGAAGGTACCCTTTTTTCTACATCCTCATCAACTCTTGTTATTTTTTGTCTTTGTGATGACAGCTGATCTGAGAGGTGTGAGGTGATAGCTTACTGTGGTTTTGATTTGCATTTCCATGAAGATTAGTGATTTAAGCATCTTTTCATGTGTCTATTGGCCTTCTATACGTCTTCTTTGGAAAAATGTTCAAGTCTTCTGCCTATTTTTAAATTAGGTTTTGTTTTTGACACTAAGATGTGGAAATTTTTTATATATTTTGAATATTAGCTCCTTATCAGATGTATGATTTTATGCCAAGTGAAATAAGCAAGAGAAAGACAAATACTGTATGATTTCACTTACATGTGGAATATATTTATGGAAAAAAATAGATTCATATGTAAGAAACAAAACTAGTGGTTACTAGAGAGGAGAGGGGTTGGGGCAGGCAAACTAGGTCAAGAGAATTAAGAGGCGAAAACTTCCAGTTATAAAATAAACAAGTCACAGTGATGTAATGTATAGCATAGGGAATATATTCAGTAATACTGTAATAACTTGGTGACAGGTAGGTAACTAATGTGGTAATGATTTGTGTGATGTAGTTAGATAGCTTACCCAGAAGAGGGCAGTAGAGCCAGGGCTATAGTAAGAGCAACCTGCATTTTAGATTTTTTAGTCTGTTAACTTATTTTGCACCGAACCAAAAAATTCGGTTTAGTTAATAGTCATTTTTTTTTTTTAAGTAAGTTAGGTTGGGGTGGTTCTTAGATGAAAATTAGTCCCTGATTTTGAATAAGGTGATTTTTGTTCTTTAACTGGTATATTAGTTTAAAATATTAAAGAGTTATGATAGAATGAAGGAGGAGTTTTTAAAATGCTGTTTGTAGTTTTTAAAAGGTGATATAGAATAAGTAAAAGGAATTATTTTTTTTGAAATGAGTAAATATAAAATTATTTTCCAACTTGGTACAAAATGGTAGCTTTAATATAGGTCTTTAGCAGCACTGCTTAACCAAGTGTTCTTTTTCTCCAAAATTGTATTTTAATGTATGATCATACCAAACACACTTACTGATGGATGGTGGTTGTGCAGGAAGCTGCCCTTGTGACTTGGTTTACCGGAATTGAGATGGGCAGAGTTGCGGAAGGCATGTGAGAGATTGATCACCTGATAGGGAAATGGGAGCCGTCTGTGCCTCAGTGTAAATGGCAGCACATACCACCCAACCTTCGCATATTAATGTGCCATCTATACAATGATAGCTAGTCTGTGAGCCTGGTATGTATCTTCTTTTATAATGTCAGCACATTCATTTTAGCATATTTAATCCTTATAATAAAAATATTTAAGCCCTTCAGCCTGCTACTACAATTAAACACACATGCACACAAACACACCTATGCTGATGGTTATTTCTACAGGTTGCAGCAGTTTGCCTGACTTTTTTCCTCTCCTGTATTCCAAGCACACGTTTATTTCAAAAGTTGTGCTTTAGAGTAGTACTTCTCAAACTTTAACGTAAAACGAATTACCTGGGGATCTCATTTTTAAATTTCTATTTGAATTCAGTAGTTGCGGGTGGCACCTGAGATCTGCATTTTGGGACAGGCTCCAAGTGATGCAGCAAGGGCTATCTGTGGACCACAGTGTGAGGAGCAAGGCTTCACACCTAGTTCCTAAACTTTGAGGGCAGTTTAAGGTTCCTGCAAAACATCCTTGTGGTCACTGCTGGTAAAGTCAGATTGGAGATACATCCTCTCTCTCCTACTGGTGTGTTCTGAATGTGTTATGAAGCACAATGAGTGCATAAGAAAAATAAGCTGTAATGTTCTAAATCCAAAGTAAATAGCTTTATTTTCAAAATGATTTTAAAATATTCAGTCTCGTGATATGCAGAGTGGTTTGCAATTATATGAGAAAAGCTGTTATGTAATTCACGTTAGTTACTCCAATTTGCTTTTTGTTTCTTAGAAATGAATTGTGCAACTCAGTTTACAAACATGCATACATTCGTTTTCATTTTTGGTGGGGAGAAAAGACAAAAACTATTTAAAAACAATATACTTATTACATCTTAACAAAGATTTGTACATTATATATGAAGAAAATATCCAAGACAATTTGTCTTGAAAAAATATACAATTCTAACAGCTGTGCACTATGTACATTTATATTTTAACTTTATTTGCCAAAATAAATCAGATACATATGAAACCATCTTTGTATGTTTACTTAATGGCTACATTTTCATTCTTTAAGGTTCAAAGAAGTAGTTTCCATTTTTATTTATTTAGACTTTACCCTCACGTTTACCTTTTACCTCTAAATGTTTCGTCTTTCAAATTAATTAAAATGGCTGTGCGTTACTGTACCTGAAGGGCATAGTCCTAAAATGTTGTGTACACAGTTATTTTCTGTGTGCAAATTGAAATATTAAAGATGGACCAGGGAGCTCAGTTTGAGGAATCTTGCTTTCTGTTGAATGATGTCTTAATTTATGTGATTTTCCTCCATTAAGTTATAGCTGTATATCAGAATATATAAATATACTATAAAATTGTACCTTTTGTAATAACTTTTAGTATAATCACTTGTGTGATTATGATAAATTGGTTTTCTATACTCTTCACAGTTAATAGAGAACTTCTCCTGTTTTATAAAAATAATATTGCAAACTGGAAAGAATTTCTGTCCAGTTAGAAGCTTTCATTTTGCTGCTAAAATGAGCAATGTACAATTTCAAATCTCAATGTAGTTTCTTCACAAACTATTTTACTCCGATACTATACAAAGCCTGTGTGGCAGCCATGCGTGAAGCAGCTCTGTTTTTTCTCATTCTATACATCTTGTCTAGATAACATTTATGAAATGGGAACCTTAGGATGCCCCACACTCTACTTGGTTTCAAAGCAAAAGTATAGCTGAATAGGACTATATAACTTATTTTCAAACAGTGTTGATTTTTTTCTTTAATTTCTTGGAAGAATACTCTCCTTCGCTTAAAAGTGCTTAAGAAATACTCCTCTATAGAGAAACAGAGTCTCTGCCTCGAACCATCGGTCTGATAACAGAAGTTGCCTATTTAGGCCATGTGCTCTTAGTGCAGTGGTTCTCAATGGGATGATTTTGCCTCTGAGAAGACATTTTTGATTGTCATGACTATAGGGGGAGAGGGGCTCTTGGCATATGACAGTTAGAGGCCAGGGGTACTATTAAGCATCCAGCGATGCACAGGACAATCCCCACAAGAAAGAATCACCTGGCTCCAAATGTCAGTAGTGCCAAGGTTGTGAAATCCCACCTTAGTGTCAAAATGGTGCAGAGACAAGTGGCCAATTTTTTAGTTTTTAGTAATCCAACTACTTCATGGAGACAGCGCCATCAAGGCAGATTTCCTAAGCTGAGTTTGCCTAAGCCCTCCAGCTCTCTGTTTGTATGTGGCCTCAGTTTAGTGGTTGAGTAAGATAAAAGGCTGACATGCTATAATTCTTTGTATATACATTGAAGAACTAGTATGTGTGTGTGTGTGTGTGTGTGTGTGTGTGTGTGTGTGTGTGTGTGTATATGTATGTATATATGTACGCACGATGCAGTTACATGGTTTATTAAGTATTCTTTATCAACTTGATGACTAGTTTCTCCTCCACACTTCAAATAAAATTTTTATTGGAATTAAAGCATTTGAATCCACACAGCTGTTCTAAGAATTAGGCTCCAGCACATCTAACTAGAAAAATACCATGCTGTTTTTGCTGTAACTCCCTGACATTTTATGGCTAATTTCCCTGCCCCGCGCCCCCCGCCCCCCCGCCGCCGCTTCTTTGTTTTGTCAAATACAAAATAAATCATTAAACTGTGTACATTGCTCTGGACTGCCATCACAGGGGCGAGGCCAGGAGGGCAGTTGGGGCCGGATGCACATGGCAAATACCTGTTTTCCTCTGACTTCTTTTTCAAAGTCAAATTCTTTGAGGATTGTCTACTTGTATTATAAGAAATCCAGATCCTAGACTTTTAAAGCTAAAAGCATCACTGCTGAGCTCCTACCCAGTCTTCCCATTTTATAATGAGGACACCGAAGTTTATAGAGGCAGAGTGACTTGTCTGAAGCTTTAGTTCTGCAGTTTCTGACGTAGCATAGTCCCCACTGCTTTTGCCTGTGCACTTTCTCCTGGTCCCACCTTCTAAAAACTGTGTGGGCTAAGAAAGAGAAAAGAAAGTGCAAAAGGAGAAATGGGGGTGTTCTTCACAGTGGTCCATTCCCATGTTAATGATTGGATGCTTGTTAAAATAACCATTCCTGGGCCTCATTCCAATCCAACCAAATAAGACTCTCACATTTGGGACCTAAGAATCTACCTTGTGAGCAAACTTGCCCAATTGAAAGTCATTCTGGAAGTTTTAAGTCTGGAAAAGCACAGAGAGATGCACCTGCGAATTTGGTGGTTCCCAATGTCTCTTTGTACTTTCTGGCAAATTCCTGAGATGACCTTTTACTTTACCTTGTTTACACTGCCTGAAATGCCAACAATTAGAAATTCACCCAGGCCCTGTTTTTCTTATTCGTTTAGCAATAAATGAAAATAGTTTCCTGAAGTTAAGGGAGTTATACAGTAATTCACTCAAGTGTGTAAGTTAAACAGATGGCTTTCATAGTCACACCTAGTGAAGAGCAGCCGCCCCGAGGGAAAGGGAGATTTAGACAAGCGGTAAAGGAATGTGGGTAACTCTGGACTACTGGAGAGGAAGCAGGCTTTGGCAGGCTTCTAGAAGATGAGGGCAACAGGAGGCAGGAGAGTGGTTCGGTGTAGAAGGAGGAAGGATGCCAAAGAAGTTACTCATCTTTCAAAAATTTACTAGGTCCCTGCCAGCCAGCCAGCCAGTCAGGTCAGCCAGCTGTGCATCTTCAAGGAGAAAGGAGACCTGCTGCTGCTTCCTCTGGCACAGGCTGGCCCGCCAACAGGATTTTACTGTAAATGTCATCAAAGATTTTAAGCAAAATTTTGTGCTTTGGCCTCTAAATTACTCCCCCCGCCCCCCCCCCCCCACTTAAATGGAGATTTCCTCTGCAGGAGGCATACTCTAGTCTCCCACCAGTTATTCAGGCAGGTTTTGATAAGTACATCATAGCAAGAAAGGGACTCTGAGGAGGCAGCTGTGGGCTGACAATAGCAAATTTTACCTAGTTGATAGACAAAACTCACATAAAATATCCTCTGTGGTAGTTTTGGATGAGCAGCATAAGTTGAAGACCTGTGTTGTGTTTTTTTTTTCACTATCAGCATCAATATCCAAATTAATTACATCTCTATACCAAGTACTTCCACTATTGTTGATTGCTGTTTAAAAACAATTATTTTACATGATTGGGTTTCCCCTCCTCCTCAAAAAATGAAAAGGTTATATTTTTCTTTAAGACATCTCATGTTTGGAAGCATTTCACCTTTCTGACATAATGCACGTTATAATGTAAACTCTGGACCAGCCAGCATAAAGATCACTTTTCCCGTATAAAATAAGTCTTTTACATCTCCCCACTCCCGCCCCAATTTCTTTTTTCCAAACTGACCTGCAGTTTTCTTAAAATATCAGGCTAATTTACCTATTACATTATAAAACACTGGGATTTAAAAAAAAATCCATTCATGCAAATAGCAAATAGCTGTGATGCCGCCTAGTCCCACTACAGTGAGAATTGCTGGTGGTTCAGCTATTGAGTTCTGTGGTCTCGTCCATCTCATCTGGATTTTTGGTCATTTTTTCATATTTTCTTTTGAAGAAGCCAAGCTGTAAGATGATGATGTAAAAATGTTACTATCTAAGGCTTATTTTGTATGGGGCCTTAACCACACCCGCCCCCCCGCCCCACCTTGCTGCCCACTTTCCCTAAAGCACCTGGAATCCCTGGGGCTCTGGAGAGGGGGATATGCAGACCATGGAACTGACCCAGTGTCAGCCCTTTGGTGAGAAAATTAATACCCAGAGAGTTGTACTGAACTGCATAAAGTTTGGTTTTTCAGGGTCTACTTATTTGCAGCTGAATAAAACATTCTGGGGTCTGGAAGAAAGGAAGTTTGGAGGTAGGGGGCGGGAAGGGGAGGAAGGATAGGGACCAAGACTGAAGAGATAAAAGCCTTACTGATTGTTTTCAAGGACTTGAGTGAGAATTTGCTAATAAACTTGCATTGCCTTTTCTCTTATGATAAAACTTAAGGTTGCTGTTCGATCAGGAAATTTAAGACAGAGGTCTTTAGGAAACCCTAATTTTTAAATATGAAACTTTTCTTACCTTCCATAAAATTGCAACCAGAGCTAATAGCAAAAGGATTCCAGCAATTACACTTCCTACTATAACTCCGGTTGGTACTTCGGCTTTCTCATGGGGTTTCATTATCGTAATGGGAATCTGTAAATGTATATATACAACAATTGAGTTAACTAATTTAGCACCCAAAGAAAGTGAGATGGCCTAGTCAGATTCTAATTGTATAAAATATGGCCTTGAAAGGTGATGTGACTTGCACATGATCGTGTTTCTCAAACACTGTGCAGTACAATTTCTAGAGAACACTCCTGCAGAGTACAGGCAAAGAATATAAGTTTTCTAGTTTCCTCCCTTTAACTGCATCAGAATTTAGCAGATATGTCGTCTCTGACAATCTCAGATGCATTAATTATTTATGAAATAGCGATTTTGATTTCTTGCATACAATTTCATTGTCGAGTGAAAGCATTTGGAATCCAGTGTTGGGGAGGGGACACAAAGGTCAAAGAAATTAACAAGCCAAATCCCTTGTGATTGAGCAACAACGACTTTGTACTGGGATCCTAAAATGTTGATTTCTCTTAACTTCCAGTCAAGATTACTTGATATGTATTGCAGAAAAGTCCTAGGGCTCAAATCGACCATTTTAGCAATAAAATTGCCCTTGGGGCTACCTATGATTCTTTATGTCCACTTCCTGGCAGGTTTGTGACTTTGTAATGGAATGGCTGCCCTATGAGTTTTAACAGTAAAACCGTTTGTGTGTGTGTGTGTGTATGTCGTAGGAAGAATCACAACCATTTCCTCCACAAAACATATTCTTAAAAAATTGCATTTCAGAGCAAAACAAGGGGACAAAACCTAATTTATTTACTTGATTTAACACTGACAGTGGCAGGCGAGCTGCTTTTCATCATAGAATTATGAGTTCGGCTGAACTTGAATATGTTCTTTTGGTGACTATATGTCTTCTCATTTGTGTCTTCAAGGGCTAAAATAAGGCTTTATAAGCTTAAGACTAAAGCATAAATTCATATAGTTTGCTGATTAATGGCAGACATAGCTCTACTTCTCTCCATTCCAGAACTTCCTCATCTGGGGTCCATGGATCCATAAGGATCTATGAGTATGACATTTCTGTATCAGATTTTTAAATGGGCCTGGGATTCAAATAAATTTAAGAATCACTTATTTACCTGTAGGGATATGTCAATTTATTATTTGGATTCCAAATATTATTCAAAAAGTTATTTAATTTTTATTTGGAGTCCAAAAATATTTTCATAGACACAATAGAGTAGTAGTTGGCCTGATATTTATCAATATTGCTCAGAGAAAACCAGAAAAAGAGAAATTTCCTAAAGGTTCATTAAAATTGTTAATTCGAATTTTCAATTAATATATCGAATACTGCTTTCTGAAGAAACAAAAACTTCAGAAGAGGTTCAGGCATTGTCTGAACACTACGTTTTTCTAAAATGGACTTTTGCAATACCTATAGTACTTTTCTGCAAGGCTAAGTTCATAGCACTCTGAATTTGAAGACCACATTTCCTTTGGCTGTATTTCTGATTTTCCACACCCAGCCTCGGAAGAGAGAGTGTGGGTCTTTGCAGAGGGTTTAAGCCAGAGGCAGAGAAGCATCCTCTATTGTGTGGAATCATTTTTCTTGGGACAAGAGTGGCTAACAGCGCTGTGAGCTCTACTCAGGCATTGGGAAAGGTCCAGAGTTCACAAGGCCATTGAATTTTTAACCAAGTTCATAGGCTGCAACAGTGGACTGAGGCCAACTGCTAAGCTGGCTGTGGGAGAAGAGTCTTGAACTGCTTTCCAATTTCTAACAAAAGCTTTGGGAGGAAAATGCTCAGGGCTCTGCCCGCAGATTAGCTGGGCAAGGAAATCCCACTATATCTAAATATGGCGTATTCCAAGAGTTTCAGTGCAAAGTAAAGTTGTCCTGTGCCAGCTTTGGGAACAAGTGAGCCTTTGTTTTCTCTGAAATTTCATTCTTTTGCAAAATCTTTTTTAATCAAAGGGATCGTTTGTAGTTTTCTAGACTGTTAGACCTAATGAATGGACATTTCATATAGTGTCAGTGTCTAGTTATAAGGAATACTACTAAAAAAGCGCTCTAATGTCCTATTTATTAAGCATATTTCATCACTAGTCTTTAAAAAATACTCTAAAATACAGTATATGATTCAAATAAGCATGGCTTAGACTTTGTGGCCTAAGATCTAGACAGTTTTGTGTAAGCATGAGGAGGAAGAAAGAACTGATGGTGTGGTTTAGGTCTGGAGAAGGGAGCCACAAGCAGGATGGAGCCCCTTCTGTTCTGCTTTTCATTGGATCATCACTTCTGATGCAGCTTTGCCAGCATGAGGTGGGGGCGTGGAGGAGGGAGCAAGTCCATCAACTATATCACTGAACTTTTTGACTAGCAAGCACCCTTGGCCAAAAGCTTGACGTAATAAACATGAGGTTTTTAGAGTTTCAGTAAGATACTTCTGCATACATGTAGGTGAGAGGTACCACTATTCTAAGTTTAAGAAATGGACCGTCTGTCGTAGACTCTGCTGCCAGCGGGGAGAGGGATGCGATGTGCTCACCGTGACAGTGTTTTCTTCGATCACATATATCTGAGGGTTGTAGGTGTCGATTTCTGCAGAGGCCGTCAGCTGTACGGTCTGGAAAGTCGACTGGAACATAAGAATAAAGAATATATTTTGTCCTAGCAGAAGTTAATTCATAAAACTCAGCATGATTATTATTTATTAATTTCCTTGAAGGTGACAGAGCAAATACCAACTCTGAAGACTTAAGGAACTGTGGGCTGAAATCAGTGGTATGTGACAGGACCACACATGACAAGTATGCAGGGGATTTCAAATGTGTGGATGACTGGGCCCTGCCATAGCAAAGTAAACCAAATCTCTGGGAGAGGGGTACAGGTGGAGTTCAGACATCGGCAGGTTAAAATATTTGTCTAGGTGATTCTAATGTGAGAACAGGGTTGAAAAACAAGGGTTTAGAAATGAAGTTTTTAATTAGGAAAGACCCTAGTTCAGATTTTTAAAAACTTAATGAAGTTTGAGCCATGAGGGAAAATTGCAAACTCGATTTTTATATATTTACCTGAATAAGTCACATAATGGATGGAAGATCAGATTAAAAAAGGGAAGAGAATTTTTTTTATGAGTGCACATATGTAAAATAGTACTGTTTAAAAGTGCACTTGAATTCGGCCATGCATGTCAGCAGCAGACACCCTGAACAATTTGTCATGCTATATAACATGAGTAACAATTTCAGATTTCCTGATCTAAGCATTTCTATTAAAAAAAAATACTGGATTTGGGGAAGGCAGATAGAAAGGACATATATTTTATGCCGATGTTTCTAGTAACCTAATACGAAGTAACTATATGCATTCCTGGGTCTACTGTAGAAAAATAATCTATTTTTTAATAGATATACTATTGATGTATATATTCTTTTTTCTATAATGCAAATATTGGGCTTGATGCTTGCTTTTAAATAGAATACAATACCCAAATTTGAGAACTGCCTTCACATGCTCTGGCTACTAGGACTCAGTTTTTCTGGTTACTAGGGCATATGATTCAATGTACTCCATGAGGTAATTTGCTAAACTATATCTGGGAGCCAGAAAGAGAGAATGCATATCCAAAAAGTGAGCCATTTATTTCTTTCTCATTTGCTCAATCTCTGATTACTCTTCTTAATTTTCTCAATATGGAATATGGAATCTCAATTGCATCAGAAATTATCCCTGATCCCTGATCTCTTAAACATATATTATTGAGGGAACATTAAAAGTATTGATAATGGTTTATATTAAAAAAAAAAAAACAATCAGTTAAGTGAATGCTGGCTTCATAGTTGCAGTAGACTAACGATGAAAGAATTTCCTTATAACTGATATATCTGCCCTCCCAAGTCAGGTCCTTTGCGCAGGTACACAATATTCTGCAGGGTTAACAACCTATGATGGGTATGCCATGCATATCTGAGAGTGAAGTAACTAGCATTGGGCAACGCTTTTCCTTACAAATGGCAGCCAACAATGTCATCATTTTAGAGGCTCAAGGAATCACTTCATGATGAAATTACTTGAAATGTTAAATTGATTTGCACTGCATCAGAAAGAGGATGAAAGGCAGAAAATCAATGGGTTCTAATATAGGAAATGAGATCCATATTTTAGACTGAATCTGCTAGGTGGTCTGAGAACATCCACTTTGCTATTGAAATAGCTGAAAACAAGGTGTGGATAAAAGTTTGACCTTTCACTTAGGAGGAAGGTGTGCAGGACTTGATATACTACAATAAATCTTATGGTGGTTTTCTCAGTTTAGCCATCTTAACCATGTTGAAAAAGCATAAATATTACACTTCTTCATAATTTTGCTCCCAGAAGTGAAATTGCTACTTCTGAAAACCTTTGGAAAGGTACTTTGAAAAGTCTTACCGTTAAAATGATGTTGCTTTAAGCAAACTCAAGAAAAACTCAATGCTTTTTACAGAGTCAGCATGATTGCATTTTGATTTGCAACAGTCAGCTTTCCTTCCCAGCTGGCAAATTTCGTTATGAAAATATTTGCTCCTTGAATCCAAGGAGCCAAAAACTAGTTGGTGAAACTGAGCACTGAACGTCCCAGCAGCTGGGATGATGGTGTAACTAAGGGCACGCTTTGCATCTTACAGGATTTAGGTGCCCCGAAGGCTTGAAAGCAAATGCAACTAATGAGAAAACAAAACAAAAGAAAGCAAGAAAACCCAACGCCTCACATTTTGGTTCCAGGAACAAGTTTGGAAGGAGCTTAGTTCTCTAATCTTATACAAAACTCCATAGCAGGGCACAGGGTTTGATGGAGAGATCATGAAATGGTTAGAAAAGAGGGAGTAGTGTCTGGTTGGTAAGCACCTAGAAGACTGATTTATACATTTAAAACAATAACGACAAACAAACAAACAAAAACAAAAACAAACCCAAGAAAGAGCCACAAGGCCCCCAGGAGGTTTCAGACTGATTTCTGTTTTGCTGCCTCAATCAGAGTCAGTATTGGTAAAAGAAACAGCCACTGTGCAGGCAGATGTAAGGAGCCCTGTCTGTCCTAATATTTTTCATTCCAGACTGAAATTCTGGCTACCAAAATCTCTGCTGAAAGCAGATATCACTACTGTTGTACTTGCCAAATGGAAAAACACCAACACGGTTGACACTTTCTTCAAACTTTTCAAGAGATTGAAATGACGAAAAAAATTGTATGTGCCAGAGAAGGGGCAAAACAGGAGAGCAGAGTGATTTCCTGGCTCTAATGTGGGAAGATGGATCCTTATGTTAGATTCATCTACTTGGTGGTTTGAGATCCATCAGACAAGGAGCTGGGAGTTCAAAGAAGGAGACAGTCACGTGCATTTGGCTTTGGGCATGGAGAAGGAGACAAAGTCAGAAAAGTCAAGAGCGTGGGAAGAGAGGCAAAGCACTTGGCCCTTGTACCCCAAGGACAGAAGAGGGGATCTTGACACCATTCCCAGAGATTCTGATGTAGTAGGGTGGTATGGACTCTAAGAATCAGATGCTTGACAAGCACCCCAGGTGATTCTGAGGCACAGCCAAATTCAGCAAGTTTTGGAAAGGAGTGGAAGCACGTTGCTTTCCAGGGCAAAATTGCTCTTGTTTATTTGGGCCCATTATTATGCTGACATTGACCAGAATACTGATTTCATCAAAGGCTATGAAATTCTGGACAATGGAGCCTTATGATTCTTTTTGCTATTGATAAAGCTGATAAATAAAGCTGGTACTTACTGCTGCAAAAGTCCCGTTCCAGATTCTGGTGGACACATTAAGGAAGTACTCTCCTTTCACCTGAGGGTCTTTCAGCCAGCAGGTAACATTACTGCATGAAGCCGTTCTGCAGTTCTTTCAGGTTGGGATCAACAGTAGAAGAAGACAGAGGGTTAGTGTGGGCTTTAAAAAATAAATGCTAAAATTTTACCAAGACAGATAAAACCCAGTGCTGGGAAGGATCTAAGGAAACAGGCAATCTCATGAACTATTAGTACTTGTAACTGTTCAAGAGATTTTGGCACTGTGCCTCAAAATGTAAAAAGTGGACCCCCTTTGTCCCAGCCATTTCTCATCTGTGTGGGAGCTCCTCAGGAGACAGTCACGAATGTGCGGGGGAAAGTACACCCAGTTGGTTTACTGCACGAATGTTTCTGACCGTGAAAAATACAAGCAAAACAAAACAGAAAACTAAGTAACTTCCGTTTATCAACAATGTCCTAGGTGAGTAAATTATTCAATATACATATACAAAATGCAGTACAATATAGTCATTAAACATGATAAAGATGCATTCTTTAGATGAAGAAAACCTGACAGTAAAAGAATCCGTGGTTGCTGACAGCGCAGGCACAGGCAGCATTTACCAGTTCCTAACCTGGTGAGGCTCTACTTAGGTCCCAAGCAAAGACAGGATGCAGACTCTTCCTCATGCTGTATAAGCTGGCGGATGAGGACCACCAGGGGCATGCCCCACATAGACCAGGTGTTCAGTATTTGTTGCAAAAATGAATTCCTTATGCAAAAAAATGTTTTTGATATAATAAATATTACCAAAAAAATCACCCTAAGTGTCTGAGAGTACTCTCTGTTCCCAATAGATGAAGAAAACCTGACAGTAAAAGAATCCGTGGTTGCCGAGGGTCAAGGAGTGAGGGGCGACTAGGTGGAGCACAGGCATTTTAGGAAAATGAAACTGCAGTGTATGGTACTATAATGGTGGATACATGTCACTGTATGTTTGCTCAAACCATAGAATGTGCTACACTAAGAGTGAACCTAATATGAATTCTGGACTTCGGGTGATTATGATATGTCAGTGTAGGTAAATCAATTGAAACAAATGTCCCACTATAGTGTGAGGGGATTTTGATAGTGGGAGAGGTTGTGCCTCTGTCGGGGAAATAGGTAAATGGGAAATTTCTCTACTTTCCACTTAATTTTGCTGGGAACCTAAAACTGCTCTAAATAATAAAGTCTATTTTAAAAAATCTATGACATTGGCTTATTAAAAGTAGCATGGTCCATTTATGTAACAGTATACATATATCTATATGTAGATTAATGCTGAGAGGTATAGAGAAGGATGTTTATTAATATCGAATGCCAACTAATTGAAAAAAATTAAAACTAAAATGGTGTCAGTTGTATTTCCGGAGAACTTTAGTTTGTTCTTTGTATTTTTTTGTGTTGTCATGTTTGTTTTATGTTATTCCCACTCAGCAACTGCCATTTTTACAGAGTCAAAACATTTTCACAAAAATAAAGAGAATGCTGAGAGAAATGATATTTTGGCATACTCTGAGATAAGTTTCTATTGGATATTTTTACCTATTAGATTTAAACTACATTCATACTGTAATTATACTAAAAACAAATGAAATTATTTTGTTCTCCTTTTTTCCCATTTTCCTCATCCGTCATGAACTAAAACAATCTCAATGAGAGAAAACCAGAATTTCAATGTTGTTCACAGGGGAGAACTATTGGACTGCTGTTTTCTACATGTTTAGTTATTTAAATATTTAATATGTGCCAAGCGCCATGCTAGATGGTAGATAAGTCTCTTTCCCAAAGAAGGAGGCATAACTCTGAGCAAGAGATAATAAAATATTGAGAAACAGAAAAATGTGGCCAGAGGCATTTTAGCAGCTAAATAAGACACCAGCGATTATGTGGCAAGGGATGTAAGAAGCTTCTCCTCCAAAGCACGTGCCCAGTTCCCTCACAGTTCTCTGCAGTGTTTCCAAAATGCACAGCGCAAAAACAGTAGTTTTACATGGAGTCCTTTTGATTTCATGAAATCTGGAACATGTGTTTTATAATAATGGTCTAAATAATTCCAATAACAGATTTGAGCATGTATTTCTAAATCCTGATTCGTACTGTCCATCAAAGGCAAAATAAGAAAGTTCTATGATATGAAGCGGCAAGAGAAAAGAATTAATTTTGATTTCCAGCCAAAACAAAAAAAGATCTCCGAAGGAAACTGTCACCCCATTAACCTGTCCTCACCAAATCTTTCACGTGCCGGAAATTTTCACTCTTGAAAGATACGGAAGAAGATGTTTGTCCTATTTTCAGTGGATTTATTTCAGCATTACAACTAATGTCACCAGCCTAAAAAACAAACAAACAAACAAACAAAACCATCAAATCAGTCTTAGGAAGCAAAACAGTTTATGATACTCCTTTCAACCTGTTAGGAAATCCTATTGTCACATGTCGGGGCAGGGGAGGAATGTTAGCTTCCTTCACTGCGTTGACCTAGCCACACTTATTGTCATAACTAATGTCAGCTTTGAAGTATTCAGGTGCTCCTGACATGACTTGATGGGGTGGCACTGGTTCTCATATAGCCCATATGTGATGAAGACAAATTTGCAATCACAGTAGACTGTGAGTGATTTAATTCAGGGTTGTCTTTTGTGGAACATTTTAGGATTTCGATTTCCCGTGGTCAGCTATGCACAACACAGGGATCACATTAGAACTAGCTAAGTAGGCGCTAGACAACGGCTGAGCCAATAGCAGGGGTTTGACAAGAGCAGTGCTTCTCAACCCAGGCTGCATGTTAGAACCACCAGGGGGCTTTTAAAGACAAACACCAGTGCTGGCGCCTTAGCCAGAGAGATTGCGATTGAACTGCCTGGGGTGGGCCTAGGCATCTCGTATTTAAAAAGCAGCTGTGGTGATTAAAATGAGCAGCCAGGATTGAGTTCTATAGGCTGAAATTCCAGGCAGACGGCTTGAAGACCAGCTACTAATCGCAGCGGTGTAGACCAGCTTCTCTCCCACTGTGGGTTCAACCTTTCCCTTCCCAGTCAACTAACTTCTCTGTGAACAGGGCTCTGACAAGGTCAGATCTTCACCTGGCCAAGATGGGGCTTTATGAATAATTTCTGCCATTTGTAAGTCCCTAGCCTCAGGCATTTGTTTTCTTAACAATATCCTGCTTCTAATATGAAATTAACTGATAGTTAATCAGCACCCAGGATGCACAGGGGTTATCTTCTTGGTTTCCCATCTGTAAGATGTCAGATATGATCGCCCCTACCTCACAGATATGTTTCCATATTGAAAGTGCTCATTTTTATAGGCAAGTCAGGTGCCCTTACCTGATCCGTGTGTACCCCAGTCAGGTACATCAGTGGGTTCTTTTCTTTGGTGTACTGAGGGACGCGAATGATGACAGATGCCATACTTACTGGAACACTTCCTGTTGTCACCTACATAGTGCAGAAGGAAACATTCTGGTTTTTGCTACATCATGCGCACGTTGCAAAGAAAGTGACCAATACCCTGTGTTGATGAAGGGCACTGTTAAGTGGTAGGATTCGTCTATAAGAACTTTACAGTCACATTTTGGGTCTTTGTGTTTCACCTCTTGGAAAAATCTCAATATCTACAACTTTAACTAGTAAGTAATTTGTGACTTAGATGGTTAAAAGCATCCACCATCTGTAATGTGGTTTGGGCAAGATACGTGTCCTCTCTATGCTTCCATAATTCTCATTTGTAAAATAATCGGCAAATCATTAGCATCTATAGCATCTATTCTCATTGGTGGGGAGTCTGTTCTAATTGGTCAGTGCTCATGCCCTATTGGTTGTTAAAACATTTTAAATAACACCCATAAGAATGATAACCCTACCAACTTCAAAATCTGGGATTAAATGGGTCAACATAAGTAAAGCACTTGTTATAAAGGCTGATACTTATTACACTCTCTATGAATGTTATTTTATTGTTACTACTAATTGACTGAATGTTTCATAAAAGAAGTAGTTGCCAAATACCATGCATATTTTATAAATTCCAGTATCTGGATCATAAATCAAAACTCTTAAAGATTTTTTTTTAGTCACCAAATTGCAAGGTGCAACCATGTAACAGACCAGTAGGAAATGTAGCAAAAAAAATTGTATAGACTCAGGGTCGTGGATGAATTCTTACTGTCCAAAGTTTATGTCACAAATTAATTTCTCTAATTGATAACAATCTTTAGATTGATAATTGCTTATACTAATAGAGAATACAAATTGATTTTAAAATATTTCTAGATATTATTTAGCATGACTGTACAAAACACATACTTGTATACAAATGGTAAGCTTCTTATACAGAAGTGGTCCTCAAGGATAATTGGCATACTAATTACATTCCAGAGACTTTTGCCCACAGTAATACCATTATATTAATGTTCTATTAATTAATGTTGAACATTTTCTTTCAAAATATGTCAATTATCCTTACCCAGGACACATAACTATGCACAAAGCCCAGATCTTTACTTAGCTGATTTATCTTAGTGGTTCTCAAAGTAGGGATGCTTCAGCATCACCTGGAACTTATTAGAAATGCACATTTTTAGGCCCACTTCGGACTTACTGAATCAGAAACTCTGGAGATGGAGCCCAGTGACATGTGTTTTAATAAGTCCTCCAGGTGATTCTAATGCATGTTCAAGTTTGAGAATCTCTTATATAGTTCAACTTATTTTTACTTTCTTCTTCTCTTCCTGGCCTCGTTTTTCCTTTCCCCTTCTGCTGATTTCTCATCCTCATGACAGGCTTACTGACCTTAATGGAGAAGATGAATTTTGGACCAATATCTTCAAAATTGTGCACGATAGAAGGAACATTCCCATCCGAGGAAACTTCATAAAACCTTATGTTGGTAGATCTGTTGGATGATGTTTGTAAAGCCAAATGTTTTAGTTTTGCTGCTGTTCTTGAAGCTTAATGCTTCTTCTATTTAAGTATCTTTTAGCTTATATTACAAACAAAATAGTTTACATTTAGGTACAAAAATGCTGAGTGAAAACAAATACTTTTTATGAGCTTATGGTCCAGTGTACATTTCTAAGGCTAAAACAAATTCCTTTCCAAGCATATCCCTTCATGATCTTTCTGCTGCTGAGAATCTTTGTGTTATGTCTACAGTTGTAAAGTTTCTAAAATAAGTACAAATGTATTATTTAGAACTGATAGTGGAACTCTTCTCAAATTGCTATTATATTGACTGGTGTGTTAATACTGTGGACACTTAGTCCTTGTTGATTGGATGAATGGATTTATAAGCCAGATGATTTTCCACTTAGTATGGCTGAAATACAATGCTAGAACATGGGGCATTAGCTCCGGCAGAATTCTTTACTGGGTGCCTGTGAAACAGGACATACACTTTTCTTTACTGTTTCTTCTCCCTCTCCTTCTCTAGTTCTAAACCAGCTCTAATGCTTTGGGTCTGAATTGGGTTGATCAGTTTGTTTCCACCACCAGTGTAGAGACTACCTATACGATTGCTGACCCAGAGGTTTTATTAGACTAGCCCTCGAGGCATTGGACTGCTTTGACCCTTTGCTTGGGATTGCTAGCTGGGGTTTGCAAGTGAAGTGATGACCAGGTAGGAGGAACTCCTACAGGATGACTATGGACTGGAATATAACTGGATAATTTCCCCTCTCCTCACTCATTTATGGGGCTCTGAGGCTGGATTCCTCAGAGCTTCGGTGGAGTTGGGGAGCAGGTAGCAGGGTGAGGAGTCTAAGAAGCAATATTCATTCTCACCAGAAAATTTATCTTAATTATAGGATGTTGATTCTATTTTCTCAAAAAAAAAAAAAAAACAAAAAAAAAAAAAAAAAAAAAAAAATGGACTACACATTTTCTGAAGGGTTTTTTTTTCTTTACTGAAAATCTTGCCTTCTTTTTTTATAGCTCCTTAAAAAAAACTTTCCAAATTCTCCAAAGGAAAATATGTCATAGAGAGACTTAAATAGATGTATCTGTCAAGATTATATATAGGAGAGGAAACAATGATCTGCTAGCGTTACATGGAAAATGAGAACACTGACTAGGATTTGGAACAGAAAGCCTGGCTGTCTGCGCATGAATTATTCCCTTTGCTTACCAAGAGATCTCGTGTGAGCCCCTAAGTACAGCCAGTTTCTAAGTTCACTAATATGTTCTACTTTTGCATTTTAAAGTGATGACATTTTTCCATTTGTTACTTAAGTGTTCCTTAAGTTACTTAAGTTTTGATCAGTAAATACTCAGAGGATTTTGTTTTAGAAATAATTCTATTATCATCTATTTCCACCCATCACATATGCACAGTATAACTGCACATTTATATGGTATGAAAGTGGTTGCTAAGGGATACATTCAATAATCAGGTAGGACTTTTTTTCAAAAAACTTGCAAAGATGTTTGTTTAAAAATGCGATTGTTTTTTACAGCATTGTGATGGTTAAACAAAACAAAATAAAAATGCAAAACAACCAAATATCTCATTAATATTAAATTAGTTACATAAATTATGATCCAGTCAGGAATAGGACAAGTTCGATCTGTATGTCCCGATATGAATTTCTCTAGGATTACATACAAAGGAAGGTACAGAAGAGTTTTGTCATTCTATTTGGGTAAATAAAATGTGTATGTGTGTGTGTGAGGGAGGTGGGGGAGAAAGACAGAGAGAAAGAGAAAGATGCATGTGTCCTTATAGATAAACAAACCCAGTATCTGGAAGGTATTCTGAAAACAGTCAAGTTAGTCATCTTTGGGATGACTAGAGGAGGTGGGGAGGGATAATTTCATTTTCCATTTGTATCTTTCTGTAATGTTCAGATTTTCTGTCCATGTACATTTAATGCCTTTTTAAAAAACATCAAGAGGAATTATCAGGGTGGTAGGATTGAGTACCACTTTAGCTTTATTCTTGAAAATTCTCCATGTTAGTTTTCTCAACTGTATGACATTTTTAAAAGGACATCAGATTGTCTTAGAGTCCAGTTTACCATCACAAATTAAATAGCTAAGATGGTAGTAAAAATGAAGTCCCACTTCAACCTTATATTTATTTGATGTTAAAATATCTGAAAAATTGGCCACAGTGAAGAGTGGACTCATAAGTCTGTATTAAGAAAAGACATTTAGGATGAGAGAGAATCAATACAGGTAGAAAGAAAAAAATTCAGGTAATGTGGTACTTTCAATCTCTTTGGCTGCATTTGTTTTGAATTACTTATTTTAGCAATTTGAGGGTCCTTTGAAATATGCAATTTTTGATTAATTTTTCAGGGATGGAGGACTTGGACTATGCTTTGTTTCTGCTTTTGCTCTTTGCAACTTACTTGGTACAGAAGCATTCCTTTCATCCTTGCTCATGTGTCTCAGACTCTAGACATAGTGACAGATTTTCCTTTTTGTTTTTGTTCAGTGATATATTGGATGATCTACATATTCCGTGTTTGTAGGGGCTGGAGTGATATGATGGAAGTTAGAGAAATCTGCTGTCACTGGAAACTTGGCAGCCTGGTGTCTTGGGAGAATACTGCTGTGTGTTGTCAGTGCTCACTGATTTGTGCTGGGAAGCTGCCTTAGTGCCTCATCGGGTAGGGAACTCTGGTTCCCAGGCGTGGAGGTGGGTATCACCTGCAGCCTGTGTACCTGCAGAGCTGTGCCCATGAGTCCGTGTCCATGAAACCACTTCACTTCTAAGTAGGGGTGAAGGTGATGATACCAACCTGTTAGCACCTGTGGTGTTTACATGCTATTCACTTCTCAAGACACCTGTGTCTCTGAGCAATTCAATATAACTGGTGTCAAACTAGAACCGTTTTGGCCGTTGCTCTCAGTTTTACTTGCTTTGGGTAGGCAAGAAAAGGGAATACGGCATTCTTCATGGATGACCTCCTATGGAAAATGCTTCATTTCCTCTTGAAACTCCTAATTTGTTATGCCAGGAATTTTCCAACCAGAAACTAATTTTTCTGAGAGTAGATTCAATATTTGTGGTGCACCTACTATGTGCAAAGCACTGTGCCTGGGGCTTCAATGTCCAGGAATGGGAATACCACTTGAGATTGCATACAGACAGTAGGAAAAGTGGCATGGAGAAGAAAGTGGTGGCAATTCTCAGGGCCCTGAGAGTTCTGCTTGGACACTTGGGATGGTTTGCAGCTCTTGTAGGGCCTGCAGGGCTTTCCCCTTGGCATGTGGCGGAAGGGTTAGTCCTCTGCCTTTCTGGCGTCGCCCTCGGTCAAAAAACCCAAAGAGTTGCTCAAGGTTCCCCTCGGGAACAGTTTGACCTTGAACTTCTGTTTTAGTTGACAAAGGGAAAATGTTTTAATTCAATTCTCCAGTTAAGAATGAGCATATAGAGTATTCATTTAGCCATGAGCCAAATGTGTCATGAACCAGAGTGATGTCAGTGGTTGCAGGCTGCCCCACTGTTTCACCTACCTTGTGATGTGAATTTCAGCATCATACAGCAGAGGAATTTTGAGGTTGACAGAATTATCTGCCTTGTTTTCTTCGTAGCTTTCACTGTAGAAACAAGCATTAGGAAATTACTTAAAGAGAAATATTATAAAAGCCATCATCATGTATTCATGACTTCGTTATGTTTTTTACCTTAAGGCTTGGAAACTGACAGATGCCTGATTTTGAAGGTTTTGAAGATTGAAGTCGAAGTTAATAGTAAAAGTCACCTATACACAAAATTAAAATTCATCAGTCTATGGTACTTCAAACTCAGGGGCCAACATGAAAAAAAAAAGTTTCCCATAAAAGAAAAATCACTCCAGTTTGATTCTGAATTTTATGTACCTTAAACTTGCAAATTCGTGGAACATCTTTTTATCAACCTACATATACAAGTCATCACATGACAGGAACATATATACTTGTCTGAATTTGAAAGCTTTGTGCTGCATGAAATTTGCTTACCAGGGTTAACAAATGACATCTGGGACTCTGCGTACAGCACTTTGACCAGTGTTGCTCAAAGTATTCAGAAAAAAGAAATTTCCGTATTTTATGTCCTATTTTTAGAATGAACTACATAGGGGAAATCCCATTTTTTTTAACTTACAGAAAATTCACATTTCTAAAACTTCTTCCAAATATGCAGCCAGTTAGTGTGTGATGCCTATCGAACGGTGATACATAATGAAGAATGTGTATTGGTGAATTAACACTCGTGTTGAGGAGGGAGGGGCTACAGTGGATTTGAGGATGAAATCCAAGTTGTACCTGTTGTTTCCTCTTTAAAGCAGGGTAGCCTACATCACAGGTAACAGACTTCTGAGAAGTAACCTGGCATGTTACTTCTGTCCCATCAACCTGAACGAGACCAAGGAAACCATGATCAATTAGTACATAACGTGAGTGTGCGTGCACATCCATGATGAGGAATATATAAACCACAGACATTTTAGCAGTGTAGGGTTGGTTCATGCTGAAGTAATTTATTGTCCCCTAAGACTTAAAAATCATGTATTTGTCCAGGTGGCTAATATACAATTTTTGTTGCTAAGCAGGACACCCAACAAGCTAGAGGAGAGGTCAAATACTCAAATTTTCCCCCAGAAGTAAATCATACTTCTTATATTTCAGAAGCACAAAATAACTTTAATCTAATATTCAGAAAAGCTATCTTTAATACAATCTTTCTCTTAATATATTCAAAATTTGTAGTTTCATGAGAAGAAAACAAAATCATATCTTGGTGTGTATATTTTAAATAATGCAAAGATTCTTTTTTTAGCTTTCCACAGGTTTTTTTTTCCTCTTTAAAATAAGAAGTTGTAGTTTGGCACAGGAAATTTAAACACTGGAATGAGAATAGGTTTAGAATACCACATCTATTAAGTCCACATTGACTTTAAACTGGATGAAAACATTTTAAAATTCTTTCATCAAGTAGGTAGATAATTTGGAAAATCTCAGTCTTTCCCTCCTTTTCTTTTCGTTGCCTAGTGGCTGAGGAGGGACCAGGGAGCATTCATGGTCAAGTGTGTTCCTGGTATAGTCATCAGCTTGATTAACTGACCTCGCTGGAATGCATCATCTTGGCTGTCACAAGACTGGTGGCTGAGCTGTGGGACTCCTGACTCCTCAGAGCAAGTGCAGCTCGTAGCATCTGTGCACTACCATGGCAGCCTCATCACACAGATGGCTAAGAAGAGTTACACGAGTATCTGGCCACTACTGCAAGTCTCAGGGCAAAGGAAAAACTGACCTAAATTGTGAAGCGGATTGGCCTAGCTACAGAGCCAGGCTATGTTCTCATGAGGTTTAACTAGTCGGGAGCCATAAGGTTAGGACTGATCATAGTTAAAGGGCTTCCTTAACTATGGTAATCATAGTAAAGTGCTTCTTCAGACAATAGAGAGGACATGGAAGTTTGAGTGTAAGGAAGACGGTAATTGACAACGAGAAGGAGACACAATAGCCATCGGATGTCATCACGTACCGGCATGGACCAGGAAGCAAAAAACAAGTTTTCCGAAAAATCAACAACAATTGCAGTGTTGTATGCACTTTCCTTTTTGTTTTTCAGTGTTACTGAAAATGTTAATCTTTTGTTTTGGTTGCTAACAATAAAGGGTTGGTCTCTGTTAAAAAAGGAGAAAAAGGAAAAAGAAGTCATTAAGGGGAAAAAAGGCCAGATTCAAACACTTCACTCATTAAAAAATATAAACTCTTTAGATTTATTTGGAATATTCCTTAATAATAGACTGTCTTCATTGTAAAATGATATCGACAATAAATAAGTAAATGCTCTTGGTTATCTCTTACAATTACATTGAAGGGAATGGAATCATCAAATATAAATGGTTTTATATTATTGTTTTACTACTATATGGATGGTAGAAATTGAAAGTTAGATTTTAAAGATCTTTATTATGTATATTTCTTTTGTAGAAAAACATCTCTATAAACATTCATTTGAGTAACATAGCCCAATGTGTCTTATATTTCTACATTTTACAATGAGTTTTAAAGTAAAGCTTACTGAGCAGCTGGCAGCTGTTGGACATCTAGAACTAGGTCAGATATGCAAACTCCATCGTCACCACAGTCTTTATAGAACGGGATCTACAAAAAAAGGAAGAACAATTCCAGTCATCTGCACTTGAGTTATAAAAGCAGATTGGGGAAGAAGACATACTGTAGTATTCTTTTTACATAAAGTTCAGAACTATGCCAAACTAAATGCTGTTTTAGGAATATGTACATCCTTAGCAATATCAGAAAGAAAAGCATTGATAAATGCAAAATTCATGGTGATCTTGCCTGGGAGAGCAAGAAGAAGGCGGATCTGACGGGGGTGGGGAGGGGTACAGAGAATGCAGAGGTATTGGTAACATTTTATTTTTTAAGGGGGTCGTCAGCACAAGGTGTTTGCTTCCTTGGTATTTATTTCTTCAACAAATATTTATGGCTGGGAACAGAGCAGTGAACTGAGACAAAAATCTCCACCTTCATGGAATTTATATGCTGATGAACTTTATACAGAAGTAATTATATTTCCTTTAAAAAATTAACAATTAAAAGGCTATGTTCTAAGTATCTTTCAGACACTACTGTAGTGACTATGAAACTTTGGTTAGTCAGTCTGAATTCTAGAAAGGGCAAACTGCACTTACACTGAAGACCTTGGCGGACTCAGAGTAGGCTTCAAGGGCGGGGCTGGTGCCAGGGTTTTCCAGGCTGATGTTCACACACAGATCCAAGGAGTTGACAACATCAGAGGGCTCCTAAACACACGCACACACAGTTTATTAGGGCACAGCAGCTTCAAAACAAGAAAATGACCACAATTGTGTTTACAATCAAGAGCACAGTCTACTCTCAACTATGTAGAATATCCTTGTTTTGAATTTTCAGGACTCTTGCTTCTTCCCTTCCGTCCTAGTTGTGCTCTTAGCCTCCCACTACTAAGAAACTTAAAGATGTAGGTTCAGTAAACATCTGAAGCAGCAATTCCTGGTTAAGCTCATTAGCAATCTCATAATTTACACACAAGTAATTATAAATAGTACAAATAGGTGATATGTCTGGTTTTAATGCTCAGAAGACCCCTATGTTAGTACCTGGCCTTCGAGTTGTTGGCTATGTCCTTTTAATTCCTACTGCCAAGACTTAGGAGTCAGCTGTCCTGACCACATCTTTGGAACTCAAAGAATAGCGTACTCAGGGCTGCTTGTCAGGCAGTGGATAAGAGTCTCCTTTCCTTAGTCAGAACTTAACTCTGTTTTATGAAACCAGATAAAGGTGTTGCCCACATCGGAAACCAAGTTCCCCAACTTCTGGCTCTAGGTATTAGAAGCTGCAATGCTCCTTGCACGTATAAGGTGATGAGTGAATCACTCAACAGTCATCGAAGCCGATGCTACCCAGCTACAAGTACTACTTCTTCACTTTGCATTTAGTATAAACGGTGGGGGATTTGAAGCATTGTAGAAGTCACGGTCTCCTTTGTAATGTGAAGATGCCAAAACAGGGCTGCAAGTGTCATCTAGCAGTCCTCTCGCAAACATCTTCTCAGGTCATTTCAGGAAAGAACATTGTACAAATGATAAACACTAAAAATTGAATTTGCCTTCTCCTGAGAAGTGATATTTTTGTTATCATTTAGTCCATTCACGGGCAGGACATACTGCTGTCTTGAGCCTTTTGGGGGGCCTGACTACTAAGATGGCTTCCTGACTCCATGGCAATGCTTCTTTACTTGGCTGCAGGGTTGGCACATAGGATGGACTTTGGTACTGATATCTAATATGACATGTTAACTGGAATGTCTCTCAGCTGACCAAAGTAACATATACCTTCTAAAAACTTCACAAGTGCACACGAGAGTGAACAGGATCTACAAATGAACAGCCAGGCTGTCTTCATTCCCCGACAATGGATCACATGTCTAATTTGATCTACCACTTAGCACAAGGATAGGAAAGAATGGAAACCAGCTTTTATTTCTTTAAATAATCTGTATAGTTGGCCCCTTAACAATCAAGAAAGTCCAGGCCTCTGCAAATTAAAAACCTTCATCTTGAACAATAAGCAACTCAACTGATTTTAATTCATCTTAAGTATTAACTCATATACTTAACATTTGTGTCTCTGCACCATCCATCTACATAAGGAATATCTGGGGCTGCCCCTTAAACCTGCATAATTCCCTGAACCTTCAAACTCAGAACATGCATTTTGTAAAAGTTTCCTCGGCAATTCTTAAGCGTCTTAAACTCTGAGAACCATATTCTAGAAAAGTTCTTAAACAGCTCTTTTAAAAATGGGTTCCTGAGTAAATTACACTTTCAAATACCATTATGTGGTTTCTAGGGGGAAATATTCATGTAATTTATAAAATAAATTTCCCATTGGAAGTTTTCTACTAAGAAGCCTTTTTCCTACTTGGAAGATTTTTAGAATCCATTTGAACTATAGTAATTATGGCATAAAATTAGAGCAAATAATTTTTACCTCATCATTTAACATCCTTCATTTATATTAATTTAAATCCAATAGTAGAAAACACATTGGGATTGTCCTTTTCAGTAGCTTAAAAATGAATAAAATTTTTTCATGATAATAATATGTTGAAATAAAATTTATTGTCAACTGAAAGCTCTCCTCGTTAAACATTTAATAAAGCAGTGTCTTTGATTTCTTTAAGAATCTTATATTTAGCCATTTTAGTTGCAATCTCAAATAAAATTTAATGCTACTAACTCATTAATAATAGAATATGAATATATATTAGCATAAAGGAAATATGCTTCCTGTTCATAGAATTAGAAAAGAAAAACATTAATTAGAAGGGCAAGTATTTTCTACCTTATAAGTTTCCATTTTAGATTTTCATTATTCTTTAGTCTTTAAGAAGAAATAGAATGAAAAGATATGACTCCGAAGCCTCACCTGTATGAGGATGATGAACTCAGAGCAACTCTGTGCTTGATGTACTATCATATTCTTCTGCAGGCACCTTTCATTATTTTCTTTAAATAAACCCCTGGAGGTTACTCTGGATGAATATAGGTCTGCATCAATTGTGATGTTATATGTAATGGCTATGATAAAAATCATGAAGAAATGTTATTACAAAAAAATTTTTTTTTAAGGAAAAAGCATCTCTGTTTTTTTGTGTCTTATTGGGTGAAGCCTCTGACTTTGAGGAAACATAAAAATGGTCTTTGAATTGTTGAATTGTGAACCGTGGATTGCCCATGACTTTTGTAATTCTAGCTCTGGTTAGATATACATGACTGTGGGTACAAAGAAATGTGATTCAAAGAAATGTAGCTCGAAGCAGTGGAAAGAAAAGTGGACTTGCCACCAAGAGATCTACAGAATGAAGTTGGTCAAAATAATCCCTCAAACATCATTTTCCAAACATCATTGATAACACAATGATATAAAAAGGAAAGGAACAGTTATTGAGTACCTACAATTGAACACATTCTTATATGTTACTTTACATAAGTTTTACCATAAATCTGGAAAGTAGATATTACCCTATTTTTCAGATAGTGAACAGAATAAAAGAGGTAAAATAATTCACCTTAGTTCACACAGCTAGGGCATGGTCAGAAATAAAATTTGGGGAATTTTGAAATCGGAGCCCATGTTTTTGCTATTTCTATGCAGTTGTGGGGATTAACTGTTATTTGAGGATTAACTGAGATATTCCAAGGGAAGATGTATAGTATCTGGCATATTCTAGATGCTTCCATGAGGAAAGGCATACAACATTGCAGTAATAAGTTCTTAATCAGACAGACTTGGTTTGAATCCATCTGTGAGCTGACCGACTTTAGGCAATTTGTTAAACCTCTTTGAACCTCCATTTCCTCATCTACAAACCAGAGATAATACTAACCCAGGGCAACAGACACGAAAAACAAATGTGATAAAACTGATGTCAGTTGCCAGTGTCTAAACTATCAGAACCTTCAGCTAAAGTCTGCTGTTCAAAATTGAGAGAAATCTGATACTATTCATAGCACCAAATGCCTTATTTGGGGTTACTCTATCTTATTTTATTACTTTCAATATTTTAAATGTTGAATAGACTTCCAAAAACATTAAAATATCTATTAAAGGTATTGTAAGATTTTTCTTGCTCCAATGACTTAAGGAGGTCAACATAGATAAAATATAACAGAATCAAATGAACTAAATATAAGTGGTAAAAATAATGCGAAGGAAAAATAATGATAGGGAGATGATTGTAGCTGGGACAAAGTTAGTATACATGATAATACTGTGTCATTTTTTTCAAACAGCTTAGTAAAAATGATAAATAGTCTCATGGGCAATATAGTAATTTCTATGTCATTAAATTTAAACCGGAATATGCACCTGATACAGTAAACAATAGAGACCATATGCTTTATAAATTCATTTTTCAAATTTGTCAACATGGAATTCATGTCTTATATAATATTATTGCTAGTCAAGCAATTAAGCAATGATCATGATTAGCTTGTCTCTACAGACCTGAAGGCTTCAAGGAAAAAGACTGAAAGGGAAAGGTGCCAAACAGCAAGACCCAGACGCCCTCCAGCAAGTGGAAGGAGAGGAAAGTGTCTGAGAGCAGAAATCCTCTCCCAAGTGTGTGGCAACAGAAGGAGTTAAGTGTAGTCAAAAGAAAAGAGAGACATGAGAAATCCATGCTTCAGCTCCAGGAGAGGTAACCAGCCAGCCATGTCTGCCAGCTTATGTATTTTCTAAATTAATCTTTTAGGCAGGCTAGCCACTTAATAATTTTTTCTACAGTTTTATTGAGATAATCATCGACATATAATATTGTCTATGTTTAAAGTATAAAGTGTAGTGATAATATATATATGTGTGTGTGTGTGTGTGTGTGTGTGTGTGTATATAAATGATTACCACAATAAGGTTAGTTAACACATCCATCGCCTCACAGTTATAACTTTTATTTTGTTGTAACTTTTAAAATCTACTTTTAGCAACTTTCAAATAATAATATTTGAAATTTAAATACATAATAAATACAGCATTGTTAACTATAGTTGCCATGATGCACATGACATCTAAGCCCTTAATGGTCACACGGTAATGATTTCTGACTCAACTGATCATGGCTACTCAGATGGACGTGCTATAAGGCAGGTCTGTGAAATGTGCTACTCAGAGTTGGGTCAGTGTTTGAGCACCTGAAAGGAAAAATGCCAGATATATATAAAAAGTAGGAAAATAGGGAACGTGTGCCAAGGTGTGAATCTAACTTCTGCTTTGTGTTCTTAATCTATTTATTTCTTGGTATCAATTGTGACAAATAATTTGCCTCTATATTCCCAGTCTTTAAGTTAGTTTGTATACCACTTAATGACATGCATGTAGAAACTACCAGTTTCTAAAGTTTAGAGCCAAAAGCTGATGCAGGGGGATTGTGAAACAGCAGCAAACAAAAGAAGGTAGAATTTAATCAAGTGCTAAATCAATTGCTACTTATGGAGGGCGTGGAGACAGTTAGCTCAGGAGGGATGAAGGGAAGGTAGAGTGGTTAGAAAAGAGGATGTGGGACCTCACCCAGGCCCTGAAAGGGACTTGACTGGTCCAAGAGAGAGACAACCACAATTTCTGTTTGACATTTGCCCACAGTTTTCTTCACTGTTTCTTGCTGATAGAACATGTCTCAGACTTTTATTCACTTCTCTGGATTATTTAGGAAATTTAAAATGCTGGGTATAAATCATATAATGTTTTGTATTCTCTCTCTCAATATTTCATGCTTATTGATTCCTCAGGAATAGGAACAATATGGGGCACTTGTACTGAACACACTCTGTCTATCTAGATTATGGCAGAGCCAACATACAGTGCTCTCACTTAATATGGGCTGTAATCCAGTGTGATCTGTCTGTGCCCAAGGTTTTAAGTAAGGGAACTGTGGGTGAGAGAAACTCGAAGGATAAAGTTGGGAGAGTCCATGATTATGTCATAAGAATTACAACTTTCTGCAGCAGAATATCACATTCTAGAGATTGTGACAGAGGGAGATCTAAACAAGCCTTTCATGCCTAATTAACCATTCTCAGGCACCTAAACTGTGTGGCAATTTAAATGTCTTCAAGTTCAGACCTTTATTTTTGGGGGCTACAAACTCGAAGTATAGATTATATTTAAGACTAAAAGCAAATTTATCTCCATACAGATTATTTTAGGTCTACTCACCCACTTGATTGTTTTGCTTAGTAGGTCTAAACTTTGCACTGAAGCAGAGTTTGAGGTTTATCTCAGCATTCTTGTTGAACAAAGTGATTTTTTCTGGTGTGAATGAAGCATCTACAGATACATCAGCAATACTTTGTGACCTGAAAGACATAAATGGAAACAGATAGATTGACATATTGCTGAATGCACATATTATAACCTTTACAAGGGAGACCCAGTGCCAACATTATCCAATTATTCTCTCCACTCTCTAAGCACTTTAGCAGTATTTTAGATTTGAAAGCTCTAAGATGGCAGGTAAGGATATGTTCTTTGTTTGTGACTGTATTACCAGCACAATTCACAGTTAATATTTTTTGTTTAATGAACTCATACGTGAGCACAGGATATGAATCTTCAGCCTCTTTGCAAATGAAGTACAAAGTCATGGTCCCTGGTGTGTTTTGTCAGGTGGAAGCAATGATATTCACTCTTCTCACAAAGGTAGAGGAGAGAGCAGATGGCAAGGTGGGGGTGGCAGGGCTAAGGAGTGTGGTCGTGGTTGTTTCCTTGTTGCTTTAGTGGCTGACAGTGAGTCTTTGAAGTGTGGCATATGATCATGATGGTGGCAACTAGCCCGATGCCAGAAAATGGCTTTGGCATGTCCATCTCAGGTAGGGTATTACAGACTAATGACTTGTTTAGTCTTTTCGATATCTGAAAGGCTTTCCCATACACATGGCCTCATTTGCTTCTACAACACTCCTGTGAAATGGGTAGAAAAAATATTATTTCCATTTTATTAACAAAAAAGTCTGAGACACAAAGACATCTAGTAACTTACCAGTTTACTGAGTAATAGTTATTAGCGAGTGAGAGATTAGAACCCACGGTCGAATTCCTTGGCTAGTGGAATTGGTACTTCATCATAATAAGCTTTACGCACACCCTTAACTATTTGCAAAGCAGCAAGTAATAATTAATAATTTTTCTGTTTTGAAAAGTACCACAAGAAGACATAGAAAACATTTTCTTTTAATTTCAGGCCTTGAGTCCATTGAAAGATTATTTCAATAGTTAATCATGAATCTATCAGGTCCCCTGACAAGCAGTCATAAAACAACAAATGCAGCCTGTCTTCAAACGTACGAGATCTACAACGTCTAAGTGAATGATTTCTTTAAGTCAATCTCTTTGAGAAGCCGAGCACTTATCCCAATAGAGATGGGATTGATTTAAGTTATTTTTGTAAACTTGTTTTTTAAAAATTATGCTCAGGAGGTCTCCAGAAAAACCAGTCTCTGCACCTTATGGGAATGTGACCACAATATGGCATTAACCTTGCTTGGCTGAACCTTAAAAAGTTGATTTGATTTCATGTGTCTTGATTTTTTTGAAGAATTAAATCCATCTTTAAAGAAAAAGTTTGGCCATCATTGACTATATTAAAGAGAGTGTCATAGTATAGTAAGAATATAGCCTACCAAGGAAGAAGCCTACCAAGATGGTTATAGGGCAGCATTCACCGAAAGGCATGATTTCTTATTGTTTAAAAATCAGTCATATAATTATGTTATCACACCTCGTACTTTTCTAATGGTATGCTACTCTTAATTGATTTTTATTGATTTTATTTGATAAATATATTTTCTTATTTTTTAGTCTTAAATATTATCCTTGAGTTTTATTTTTTACACACTAAGATTTCATTAAAACAATGCACAAATACAGTGCATTTCATCCTTTAAAAGCACAAGTGAGATACTATAAACAGTATCATGAAATTCAGAAACAGCACGGCATCAATACGTAATGTTTTTCTATTCTTGATGCATCTGGACATTTAAAGCACATTTTTCAACAGAAACAAATTAATGAATGGCTGAACTATATTTTCTTAGGAACTCTTGATCAAATTCTCAGTTTCTTCTGATTCCATTCTCTCACCAGCCCAGTATATTTATTTTTGTCCTTGAATTGATTATTGTTCCCCCACCCTGCTCTTCAACTCCTACTGAGGTCAATGAGAGGTCTGCTTAACCTAAATAATGGCTGCTTGTTTATGACTAAAAATTCTAAAAAAATACCTTTTAACTACACAAGAAGTTGCACTTAACTTGGGTGGTCCAAGTGCTCAGGAGTTTTAGGCTGTTCTCATGAGGTTTCCTATCTGTGCGCTGAGGTAAGCCTATTTGGAAGATAGTGCTCCAGAATATCCAGGATGATCATTAAAGGGCTTTGTCTTTTCAATGCACTTCTGCTCACCACAGAGAAATGAGAAACTTGGTTCTAATGTTAGGAAAATATTTTTTTTTCTCCCACCAGATAAAACATATTCCTTCCTTTATGTAAACCATGACACGTAAGTGTCCTAGAGTCTTATGTAATGGACGTGGGTTTTCCACAATACCAGCACAGCAATCTGTTCTACTTAGCAGGTCATTTTTTAGCTATCTGGTTTGTGTCTGGCTCTCACTGACTCACCAGAGCTGAACAACTTGTCCAAAGGCACCGATGGATACATCGGTGATGGAATCCCCATTTAAATCTTCAAAGCCATCCAAGGATCTCCCAAAGTACTGGAGATGACTCCTAAAGGCTCCATCAGATCCCAAGATTTTCTGAAAGAGCAAATTTGACATGAAATTATAGTGCATGACTGTAACAGGAAAAAGGCAGCTTTTACATGGTATTGTTATATTTGCTACATAGCCATTTCCTAGGTTGCTATAGTCTTCACAAAATTTCATTGATCTTTTAATCACATCTTATCTGATCTGTTTATCATTCTTGCAGCCACATTTTCATCAAAGAAACAGCATGAATCTTAACATAAAAATCACAAACCAGCACAAAGCAATGGAGGATCAGTGGGCTGAGAAGGAGTTGATGCAAGCTTAGGTCCTGATTCCTTTCCTACCTCATTGTGGTCAGGTCTTTACTCAAACTTTGCCTTCTCAGTCACCTTCTTGCCATCCTTTCAAATACCTGATACCTCCCATGCCTGTTTCAGCTTTTAAAAAAATTCCTTCTCACGTGTTACTATCTAGGACATGTTATTTTATTTATCTTATTTTTCCTCTGTCTCCTCCACAAGAATATAAGATCCACAAAGAGCAGAATTTTGTCCTGTTCTTTACAGCATCCTCAAAGTCTAAAACAGTCCTTGACACACAGTAGCAGCTCACTAAATAGTTAATGAATGAGTGAATAAAGTTACAAAATAAGAAGATGGATCGGATGGTCCTCATGATACTCTGTAGCTCTAACACGATTTACTCACACATAAATACATCACCATGAAGCTCAGATTACCTGGGAATACTTTGTGCGAATGGTGTTCTCATGACCATTGTAGATGTACACAGCGCCAGAGTTCTGATTTTCCAAAGGCGAGCCAACTATCACATCATTAAAGCCGTCCATGTTGATGTCTGAGAGAGCTGCAATAGCTGAACCAAACCGAGCATTTTCAACACCCTCGGGGCCTTCGAGAAATTGGTGCCAATTCAAAATGCCCTTGCAAAAGAGAAAAAAAAGAGACGATTAAAACAAATCTTACAACTTTTATAATTAATATACTCAGCAGATGATACCCAAATCAATTTGCCAACTGTTAAAAGTGGATAGGATGGTAAACCTAGATTTCAAAATTCTCTAATTATGTTGAGAATTATAAATAAAAATTTTACTAAGTAGGGCCATAGAATATCTGCTGGTGAAAGGATACAATTCTCTTTACTGTAGCTACACAATCTACTTGAAAGTATCCATTCCTTTGTCTCCTTTCCCTCAATATTAGGATCTTCACCTGTTTCTAAACCTTTTGCTTTAAAATTTTCTGGTGAAAATCTACTAACATCTTGAATAAAATTTAGGTAGAGACAAATTAAAATACAATACCTTAATTTAGATTTTTATTTAAAAATTACTGAACAGTGACATAATTATTAATGGTATAGGAACTGAAAAATGAGATTGTTAATATTCCATTATAAGAAATGCTAAGTAATTCTGCCCAAAGATACTTCCTTGTAAAAGACACAATTGTTTTTTCAGATTTTGAAATCAAGAATAAAAATATTTCATGACTTCACAAGAAAGTAATGCTCCTCAACCATGAAACTGGGTCAGTGTTGATTCTTTCTCCTCTATAATAATCTTCCAGAAATCAGTTTGCTACTAAGTTTGATAAAGCACTGGGAGATCTTCTCACCTTCAGCAATTAGTTAAGAATAGTTGACAAGCAAGAAACTTAAGAAAGAAGGATTTGTTAAATTTTCAAACAAATAGATATGCCCTCCCTTTACTGAATACTCAATACATGCTTTAGAATTGTATTAATTGATTCTGTTCAAGGGCTAATTTTTACATTAATTTAAATAAATAAGGGAGGACATTATCACAATAGCTAGGCATTATATTTATTGTATTAATATCAGCTTCTCTTTTTTCCCTTCTATAGTCATCCAACTTTCTATGTCACTATGTGCATGGATTTAGAGTTCAGTCTACAAGTTGGAAAAACTGTGCTTTTCCATGTTAGAATATGCTAAGTTTTATGTGAAAGGACTGGAAATTCCAAGAGTTGGATATATTATCTAAATGTTACACTAAGCAATGGAATTTCCTGACAAACTAATGTAGAAAGCATCCAGGATCATATGGGGGTTTCCAAGGCACCTGGTACAATTTGTACTTTTAACCGTAAAATGTTAACAAGGTAGTTTTGACCTGTTATTGTCATTTAAAGAATAATTGGATAAGATACTTGAGAAATACACAGAAGTGTTGTATGTGTGTGTGTGTGTGTGTGTACACATGTGTATATTTAAAAAATGATGTGTATTTATAATAACTTTATTTGTATAAGAGAATCCATATTCAAAGACTTTTCATGGAAAATGGCAATGCACTATATATTAAGGTCTAGGTTATGCTTTTTAATGTGATTTTAAAAATTATAACTTAATGGTGACATCCTCATAATGATGAAACATAAACCATACTATATATGAAAATTATCATTATATTTATCAATCATAAATTTTCTTTATTGTGCAAAAATGCAGATTAACTTTTCATTTACCAATATTAAAGCAAATTAAACTAAGTTGATGTAATAATTTTTTTTACCTTTGTGATAGTAAACAGGTAGACTCTTCCTTCCTCTTTCTTTAGGTGGTTCATGTACATTGGCGCACCTACCAAGAGCACATCTGTAATGGTGTCTTTATCCACATCAACTGAACACAGCACACTACCAAAATAGGAGCCAATCTGGAGTAATAAAGCAAATTAACCTTAGGATTCCTGGGATTCATATACTCCTAATATTATACTGAACTTTTATTTACTCGTTCAAGACAAAAAATGGGTGTTTACTATTAATAAAGTGCTAAGAACATAAAGATGGATAACAGTCACCTCTCTCAGGTTGTATCGCCATCTAAGTCTCTTAAACCTAAGTGTGCACAAAAATCACCATGAAAGTTTCTTTAAAATGCAGATTCTTGTGACCCATTATTAGAGATTCTGATACAATGCCCAGGATGAGATCCAGAAAACAGTGTTCTAAATAAATACTCCAAGTGTTTCTGATGTTGGTGTGTCAAAGACCACATTTAAAAGTGAAACACTTAAAAGGTATATGGGGTGTGTTATAGAGACGGGGGGAGGGGCGAGGGAGGTAGAACAAATAATTGTGCTTCTATGGTAAAACATAATAGAGGCAAGTACCAAATGCTGTGTGATCACAGTGCAGTGGAGTCAGGAAGACTTAGAAAGATTAATACTTGAATTGCATCTTAAAGGACGACAAGGAGTTTTCTAGGTGAAGAGGAGTTGTAAAACATGAATGATTTAAGTGTCTATGGCATGATCTGGATCAGGAGAGTAATTGCCAGATAGATTGGGACAGCAGGAGATAAAGTGAAATGAGAGGCTGGGGATTTGAGTATTCATTGCACTCAACCAAAGTTCAATGCATGCCTCTGTGAATACCTCTTAAGGATTTGGAAATGAATAAGAAATGACTCCTCGTCAAAATAAAAGCACCTTTCTTTAGAATATTAAAGAGGAGAGAAAAGTATGTGACCATAGTTGGTTTTGGGTTAAGGAAGTCGAAGACTCAGGTCTTCTTCTTGGAAAAGTCATAGAGATAGTGGAATGAGACTTAATCCCAAAGAAAAATCTGTGGATACTCAAGGAAGAAAAGTTTGTGTTGGTTTTCAGAGATCCACGATGCTCATTTCAAATATGTGCCAAGCCCATGGGAGAAAACTGCTTTGTAAGGAAATAGGAATCTATCAGCTGGCCTTCACTCTACTGGGCCATGACTGAGAGTCATGACAACTTCCGACTACAAAACTGTCACACATCAGAAGAAAGTGGCAGAGAATAGAGTTGCTTTACTTTTAGAAAGGTCAAAGCAACAGTTCACCTTGACGGGCCCAGATGCAGTAGCTCAGTTTTTACAATGCTATCCTGCTTCCTTCTTCTCATTATTTCTCCTCCAAATCCTTGGCCTCTAGGAGGGGCTTGCCTACAAAGCAGTGGTTAGGTGCCTGTCATTATGACTAAATAAAGTTATTAATCTGGAGAATTAAAAATATGGAATAGGAAGAAGCCAAACAACACAGGCTTTGAGGCCACTGGGGACTGGGTTTTAATGAAAGCTCAACCCCATGAAAGCTATGTGACCTTAGAAAGGTAGTTAATCTCTCAGTAACCCGTCAAAAGAAGATGGTAGATCTCTTTAAAGATTTAAAGAATATTCAAGTAAATGCAGATTACAGAGCTAGCCACAGGGTAGGCACTCAATAAATGGTAGATTTTATTTCTACCAACTCCCTACTCCCCACCTGCTCCAGTTGTTCCTAAAATTAATTTCACTTGCTAAACAATGGACTTTACCTGGTCACCTCTGTGAGTCTGGATAACGGTGACATTGCCATTCTCGCTTACACTGTAAAGCACTATCTGGCCAGTATAATTTGCCCGAGGAGCACCAGCAACAAAGTGGACGCTTTTTCCTGTAGAAACTGCAGCCACAGAGTAACCTAGGAGACAGAGTTACAAAATAAGTACTATTGAATATCTTAGTTAAATAGGCTTGCAAAGTTAGTAGAGATGATCAGAGGTCCTTTCTTGTTATGTGTGAGGCATAGTTCCTAGTGTCCCAGGCATATCATTGAGGGCATGTCTTCTTTTTCCTTAAATGAACTGTTCCTTCCCTTTGACTGGCAGCACTGTCCTGCATAGGTGAGACATCTACCTATAAAGCTAGATTTCGGGTTGTCTCCATCAGCCACTCATGAACTTGGCACTTGACAAATATTTCTTTAATGAATAACTAAATGAATTTAAAGGTAATGTTGCACAGTGGAAAGAACATAGGCTTTGGAGTCAGACAGTCCCAGATCCAAATTCTGGATTTGCCACTTACTAAGCTGTGGCAACTTAGGCAAGTTGCCTAACCTCCTTGGCTCTTGAAAGTACAATGGGGATAATAATACTTCAAGAGTTGTTGGAAGAGTTTAAATGTTTACGTCAGAAGAATAGCCAGCTCAGGAACTGTCCCAGAGTAGATACTCAAAATTGGTGGCTGCTTATTATAGGAATAAAAACGCTAAGAACTCTAAATTAATATAAGACTACCACTTACTGTATTGGTTTTTAGGAACTATTTCTATTTTGGAGAAACACAATCATGTCCCAGGAATAACAACCACTTGAACAGCCAGAAGAGATTAGTGAAGATAATACAATGTTTCCTTAAGTAGTTATGGGTGAAGGCCTGATTGGCAGAGTCAACACAAATATGTGTAATAAATTTAATAAATAGATGATAGTTTAAGGGCTGTGCTAAAGTGATCCTGAGATTCAACAAGGTACTAGTTTGAAGGAAAGGAACTTGAATTTGCTGAGCCAAATGCTGCCATGCTTTACCTAAATATGAACTGTGATTTCTATCTTGCAGAGTTTGGTCGAAGGCTTGTTTAGGAAAGATCAAATGTCCATGAGATGTCTGCTGAACAATAGTCCCACTCCAGTCATAAGCTCCTACTGCACCCAGCATCAGAATATCCTAAAATAATTGAAAAATGAAGATCAATAAAACAAATCACCTTTAAAGCATAAGAATGCAGGAGAAGCAAAAATGTTGAAATAAATCATCTAGATTTAAGGAAAAAAAGCATGATGAAGTAAAATTATACGAATATATGTTGATGTATTTCAGAATTATTTTAATATGTTTGTGCTGAAGAACAAGCCTTCCCTTGGGCTATGCTACTTTGAGCTTTATTTAGTATGATACATTATATAGATATATCTTTGTAATAAGCTGTAGTGTCACAAAGAGCATAGTTCAATTCAAATTTCAATTCAAAAGCACGTATTTGCAAATACTGAACAGTTGTGAGGCTTTAGAAAGGGATCAGAAGGGAGCCTCCAGGCTCACAGATTCTTTTTTTTTTTTTTTGTGGTGACATTGGTTAATGAAATCCACAGATTCTTAAGAAAAGCTCACAGGCAGACATGAGGCAGGTGTGAGAAACAGGAAGTGCTGCTGACAGAGGAGGCGTTGGAAGGTGCTTATCCCACCTGTGTTGTGGGAGGCCCTATTCAGACCCATTCTGTTTTAAACTTTCTTCTTCACCTTCTTGATTCCTTCTCAAATGTTCCTCATCATCTCCATCCTATCTCATTTATTTTTTAAAAAACACAGCTACATAAGGCACCTGTAGCTGTGAAAGTCGATCTAATGTAAGGAGGACAGACATAGGGCGGCAGGGAAGGCAAAGGGGACCAGCTACTTTGGATCGACTCAAAGCCCGATCTGAATATTTAAAGCTATAAATCCTTGCAGAAGGCAGGGTTGGTGAGAATGGGATTCATTACTTAAAATTTTTGATCTTAGATATTAAGAAACATCAATGATATGAGTTTGGATTGAAAAGTATAAGCCATTAAAGAAGTAGCAAATAGGGAAACGATGTGTTCTATTTTGAGAATAAGAGACCATGCTATTATATAAATAACTGTCATAAATCCGGGACTCTGAATCTGGGGTGCAGTAAGGGGTGTCAGGGAAGGTACAAAGACCTCAGGAAATTGTGTGCAAAGTTCTCTCTGTGTGAATTCCTTTACCATTTTTTTTTCCTGAGGGCAAGACCTGTAACTATTATGAGTATCTTTAACGACTAGTGATCCAAGAAAAGTTAGCACTTTTAATTCTAGAGAGAAAGAAGCTGTGTCTAGCCCTTTGTTCTGCTGATTAAATCTTCTGAGTTCATATTTTTCCCTGAATGTTTCTTAGTGTCACCTGTCTCTTTGCCCTTTTACTACTCTGCTTATATCCTGAGTAGAGTTAGAATCAGAGGCCCGGGAGATAGATGTCTCTAAGAAAGAAGAATGGGCTTTGCTCTGGGCTAGGAAGACGTCCCACCTCACATTCCTAATTCCTTACTTCTTCAACTATTTTCTGTCTCTGCTGTTAGAAAAGAAATAATTACAGCAACTCAGAATTCAGCAATGATAATGATGACAAGAGTTTGTGTTTTTAACAAACTTTTCCAGTAGGTAATTGATTCAAAGGAAATTCCTACAATGATAATACCTTGAATTAATATAGTGCCTGTCCCCTGGAGTGCTCAAAGGCTTTCTTGCATATTATCTTTTTTTTTTTTTTCCATACAAAATCCCTGTGAAATAGGGAAGGGAAGGCATTATTAACTTCGTTTTTTTGGATGGCAAATCAACAGCACAAAGAAACTAAATGACTATGACTAGAAATCAGAACTGTTGATCACTAGATGATTGTTTTTCCCATTTTAGGTATAAGGCTACTGTGCCCAGAAGTGTTAACTTGAATGACAGCATGGCTGGAAGTTATCTGATATACATACATTTTGAGGAGAGTAATCTGCGCTGAATCCCACTTGTGACATTTCCATCTGGAATTTATCTCCTCCTTGAACAGTACCTGGGAAATAGCAATTTCAAAAACTTATTCGCTGTCATCAATTTTAAATTGAATTTTCAAACACATGTACACATATGCACACACACACACACACACACAATGTTCTGAAGTTCACTCGAAATATAGGGCCGGTAGATTTTGGAAAGGAGAATTCACTAAGGAAGTATTCTAAAGTACAGGTATGGAATTCCACGATATTTCTAAAGTAGTGTTTGAAGTTGGCGTTATGTGCTAAACCTGACAAGGTCCGAGGAGGTCAGCGCAGTGGGCCCTACAAACTCAAGGACGAAAAGTAACCACATAGGATGGTCTAAACATAAACATTTCTAACTAAAAGTGGGTTGTGGTGGGTAGCCACATCCTAGGCCTGTCAAGCTTTCTAGACAAAGGTCAGTTTTTGCCTTACGTGAGCTCGTCTATTGTCTTTTGCATCTTAAGTAACATACCTTTGAAGTGTCAGAGTAATCTCCTTTTCCAGACCCCTCAGGGTATACCCACTGCACCAGAGCACAAGACCACAGAATCCTTCATCATTTTGTTCCCCAAATACCAACTCTATGTGCTATAAATGTACCCACCAATGTAAAAGAAGTTTGTGTCTCTCCATTTTACTTTTTATCCAGTCCCAGAAATTTCCCTGCTTTGCTTTCTCTCACCCCCTTTGTCTACCACCAGTGGACTTCATATAACCCTCCTTATGTTTCCATTGATTCTAACGTATTAAATAAGCTGCAAAACTGCCATTTTCTGGGGCATTTTCTCAATCGGTTGAGACTTTTGCTTCTTGGCAGCTGTCAGGAAGAAAATTCTCTGTAGGTGTGGACGTTTCTTACATTGACAGGATTATTCTTGATTATGTATTAATATATTTATTGATACACTTATGAAGTTCCTAGTATCAAAGGACACAATAAAAGGGATGAGGTAAGATGAAAATTGAGGTGATGGACTTTAAAAACAAATTATCATTACTATCTAAGAAACTACCTGAATTTTTAGTTTTTAAATATTGGTACTTATAAATGCACACATGTCTCAGATACAATGGGAGGAGCTTGGCAGCCGATCTGTAGTGGAGACTGTGTTGCGAGATATTTGGGTTGGCTTCAGGAAACAGAATTTGGGTCATGGGGGACTTATTACCAAATGGGAAGCATGTTCCAGTCCTCCATATGGCGAGCTCTTGAACATGGGCTATTTCTACACTGACAAAACCTTCCAAGGCCATATAGGTAAATTATTGTAGAGCTGGTAAATAAAATGTTTCCTTGAAATCTGAACTACTAAAAGTCATCACTATATTTTTCTAATTTTAAAGTATACATGTTTTTGTAATCAAATTCAAGAATTTCAGAAATTATAGAATGCAGTATAAAAAAAGTAAAACTTTTTATGATTATAAAAACTATTTACAGTGTAAAAAGATAAAAGTATTTATGAATATAATAGATATTACTAAATTGCCCCCCAAATATTATATAATTTATAATCTTATCAACAGTGTATGAGCTTCTTTACTTCTCCATGATCTCTCCAAGATTAAACGTTATTAATCTTTGTTATCTTTTAGGCACAAAATAAAATTGATTTAACTTATGTTATTAAATAACTACTAAAATTGGGGATATTTTCTTATGTTTATCAGTCACTGATATTTTATCTTTTATAAAATACTTATTCGTGTTCTTTGACTATTTTTCTTACTGATTTATAAAAGTTCTTTTCATACAAGGTATACAACTTAACATTAACAGAGCAAGTAGGTGGTTATAAAATCAAGAATTCTAGAAAAAAGTTGTAGAAAGAAAATTCTTGAGACTAGGAATTCTTTTACCTTCAATGCTGAAAATTTGTTCTCCTATTGTCCCGGCCTTTTCTAGTAGAGCTGCTTCATCAGACACATTGAAAAAGTATCTTTCTGTTGGAATACTGGCAATTGCTTTAATTTCTTTTATTAAATTTTTAGTATCAAGGGAATTTCTGTTTAAGTACCCAAGAACCTTGAAAATGGAGGAAGAGGAAAAAAAAAAGTCACTACTGCTTTACTCCAATTTCCCTATAATCACTTTCTAGACTATTTCTGAACATAGTAGTTCCTCTGGAGATGTAAATCCACATCCTCTTACTTGACAGGAGTGTAAATCAGCAATAAGCAGGAATAGAGTGAAAAATTTCTTTAAATATAAACCTTTGGGAAGTGATGTTTAAAGGAACATTTACCCATCAGCTGGGAAACAATTAAACAGAAAATCCACTTACTGCTATGCCAAACCTCAGTATATTGTCATTGTTACACTGATCAATCACGGCTTTCAACATTGAACCATCATGTGATTCACCATCAGTTACAACCACCATTACTTTGGTAGCACCTGGTCGTCCACCAGCAGCTGCTGCATAAGCGAAATGTCTGTGGCAGATAAAATTAAAGAGATACTATCAAAAGATGAGTTAATATGTGAACCTCTGGTTAGAAATATAAGTAGGAAATTGACTGAGCATAACGCATCGTGACTTAGAAATTGTCTCCATTAGTTCTAGAGACATATTTAAGTATGTCTTGTAGAGAAATATAAAAATATAAATCTTGCTTGGCATTAAAATAATTTCCATTGGTTCCACGTTGTGTGTATGTGTTATGTGCATGTGCATATTTATAGCAGGAATCCTTAGAATTACCTTCTGATAATTAAATCCATTAATACTAATCAACAAAACAAAGATATTCATTCTTGTCATAAATCTTATTCATTGAATTTGCGTTTACTTTTTCAATACAAATTATTTTTTAAAAGTAATAGATACACATGGTAAAAAAAATATATATATATATATATAATCAAAGAATTTGGAAGCAGATAAAGCAAAAATTTGACACCAAGCCCCTATTCTAAAGGTACTCACTGTTATCATTTTATGTTTCCTTCTAGACAGTGTTTTATCTAGATGTATATCATAGTCTACCCCATACACCTTTACAAAAATGGAGGCATATTCTATATAGTTGTTTTTCTTTTTGATAGAATATCAGCTCATATGATGCCCCTGTTCTTTTTTAACAACAGCATAATATTTCACTGTTTAGAGGCACCATAGTTTATTTAACCAATTCCCCATTATTGGGCATTTAGGGCATTTTGATTTTTTTAAGTAATGCTGTAACGAATGTCTTTTTATATATATCTAGGCGTACTTTTTCAAATGTATATGTATGATAAAATAACTGGAACAAAGAATATAGACATTTCAAATTTTGATGGATAATGCCAAACTGACCTTCAAAAATTTTAAGCAATTTATGTTACCATCAGTGTATAAGAATACATTTCTCCACCTCCTTTCATTAACAATGAGGATTATTAAATTTTTTAATTCAGAGCATTCTGAGAAGTGACAAATAATATGCAATCATAGTTTTATAAGCATTTTTCATTATAAAGAGATAATGAGCATTTTACATATTTATTAGCCATTTGTGTTTCTTTCTCTATGAACTCTTGATTTTTATTTATCTTTGCCCATTTTTCTGTGTTCATTTTCTTAATGTTTAGTAAGCTCTTTTGTTAATAAAGAAAATCATCCTTTGTCATATGTATTGTAAATAATTTCTTCAACTCATTAATCATCTTTTGAATTTTAATGGTATTACTTTTGTACAGATTTTTATATTTTGATATAATCAAATTCATTAATGTTTTTTGTGGGTCTTTTATATTTGACATGGTATTTTAAAAAGACTTTTTATCTCTTGGCCTTTTTTAAAATCACCCAAGTTCTGTCATAGTCCTTTGAGACATATAGGGAGAGTCACCAGTTAATAGAAACAGCAACTAAAATGTATACCTAGAAAAAAAAAAAAGCAGATATGAGGAAATTCAAAAACAGAAATGACAGGATGTGGTGACTGATCACATGTATGATCTACGGAGGTGTACAAAAAATAAAGAAAACCATCAAGTTTTTAGTCTCAATGACTAGGGGAATAGGTGGTAGCATGAATCAAAATGACAAAGTCATGGAGGAGGGAACAGGGAAAAGAATAAAGCCAGTTTAGGATGTACTGAATTTGAAAAGTGAGCCACCACTCCCAATAAAGAGACTCAGTATCAGCGGGATGCCTGTGTGGATTTTAGGAGAGGTCAGAGCTGACAACATAGCAATGGGCTAACCCACATAGGGCTGATGCTGATGCCATGAGAGTGGATACAATGCCAAAGAGAAAAGGGCTGTAATAAAAGAGGGCTCTGTTTAGTGAAGAAAAATTAGAAAAAAGAGCCAGAGTAGAGGCAAAATTATTGACAAAAAGTTGGCAGGGATTCCGGAAGTTTGTGGTGTCATAGCAACGGGGACAAGAATAACAGTGTATGCTCATCATTATCAAACGTTCAGAGAAGCTAAAGAGGATGAGGCTTGAGGCAGGACTACGGCATTGTTGAGTGATTAAGGGGACCACGTTTACCTAGTGCCAGAGCCGTATGTTTCAAGGAAGTGGAGGAGGAGCATAGGTAGTGAAAGGAAGGAATGCACAAGAAGGAGAAAAAGGCACAAAGTAGGCTTAAGTGAAGGTGAGCTTATTATTCTCATTTATTTTTTAATAATTGGAGAGTGTTTAGCATTTTTGTAAAGTATCTGATTAAAGCAGAGTGAAGGTGAAGGTCAAAAATAAAGTAACCGAGCTAAGAATTAGGACAGTGCTATATAGTTGTAAAATCCACACTGCTCCAGATTATAATGAGTATCATAAACCCATTCAATTCAGTTCAGACTTCTAGGTCATTGACATTTAAGATTCTATGGCCCTTCTTAATTTGCATGACATGCTCCATTAGCTCGAGTTCTCTGTGGCCTTGATAAATATTAACAAATAATTACAGATTGTTCCATTTCCATTGTTTTAACCTAAGGCCTTTTAATTTCATTTCATTTATGTAATATAAAATCTTAAAAATCATATATTACATGAAACTCCCAGAAATTAAATATTTTTAAACTACATTTCCTACTGCCTTCTAAAAGTGTTAAAAGTTACAGAATGTTTAAACGTTTCTTCTTTATTATTTCTGATTTAAGTGCAAGTACCAGGTATGTTATTTTTCTTTGTCTTTTCTTTTTGTTACTTATAACAACTTCTATTTTATCAAAATATTGGACTATTACCTTAATAACTCACCTTGCATATTGAATTGCTTTGAATGTATTTGTGAGGTCCCCACCGTGTTGGAATGTCTGAGATGTTGCTGCAACCATTTCAGCTTTGCTTTTGAAAGTGTTCAGGTTAAACACAACTCTTGGATTATTGGCGTACTGAATTAACCCCACCTGCAAGAGAGCAGAGTTGTCATTAAGTTATAAATCATTTGTATTTAACCAATATAATAAAAACCAAAAGTGCATTTAGATTTGGGCTGATAGTTTAAGGGAATCATTTCCAACTTTGTTTGTAAGAAGTTATTTTTTTCTTCCAATGGAATGACTTCTTTGTTAGAGCCTGTAAACGTACAGCAACAGTACTGATTGACAAGATGACGTGATACTGTGTATAATTTGGTTCTCAGGTGTTACAATTGTAAATTTTTAAGCATTGCCCTATAATATTTTAATATGAATAAATATTAGAATAAAATCCATAACAGAAAGATTAAAATGATAAAAATTTTCTAAATTAATAATAGATATAAACATGTAAACAATTATAAGTAGTCACAGATGGAAGATAATATCTCGTTGATTGAGAATAATTATATAATAAACAAAGAATTAGAGTTGAATACAAGAAAAAGCAACAGGCGAATCAATGCTGTCATTTTGGATGTGCTTATTGTGCTGGATTTCCTCTAATCACAGACTTCAGGAGGAAAGATGCTACATGTGCATGTGGGGCAAGAGTTTCCTGCCTTCAATAAAATGTCATTTCAGAAAATCTGATTTGAGGGAGCTGAGAGACATCCATTTCTGAACAAGATGTTTGGGCACATAACCCTAATCCTTTAGATCAAGGTCAAACACTTCAGTTAATGTCCTTTTTCTCAGCACTGAAATCACCCTCTATGCCTAGGAGTTGGGGCTTCCAGAGTAGGAAGTGGTAATGAGAGATCAGTGGTAAAAGGGTCTCTGAAATAGAGGTCATTATGTAAAGAAGGTGAAAGGGGCAAGGTCTGGATATTTTAGTTTAATCAGCTACTTTTGCTAGGAAGGTAGTTAATTAGCCACTGAGAAGATGGCAAAAATATGATAGTCCTGGGTCCCTCTCTTTAGGATAGGTTGTAAGACTTGAGAGAGAGGAAAGGATCAAAAATAACTCTGAGGATTTCAGAGTCTAATATGAGAGGAAGATGGCTATACCTCCCATGACACAGCCTTAGGGCTAGAATTTCTGTGTGAGAAAGGGGAAGGCTGAAAAGAAGATTTAAAGAAATGTGATACAATAAGACTTACAGAAAGGTCATATTTAGATTGCAATAAAAGAGACTGAGTAAAACCACCTCTAGAGTTGAAGAAGATGCATTTGGGTCGGCAGACAAGAAGAGGAAGCCCATGAATTCCATACGAGAAACGATTAAATAAAATAAGCCATGTTTGGGTGTAATCCACTTAGAGACAGAAAAAGTAAGCAGATATGTATGAAAACTTCTCCTATGAGAGGCCTTAGCAGTGATGCTCTCCAGAAACCAGAGCTATACCTGTTCTTATTTAACAGAATTTTTTGGTAAAATCCCACAGTGAAACCTCCAAAGTTTTAGCAGGCCTTAATGCCCTCTTGGTATTAAGAAACAATGTCAAGGGGGAAAAAAGTGTAAAACTTTTATAATGCTATGTAGGAACTCAGAAAAATAATCTTTAATATGGATAACTACAAAGCACTTAGAGGAAAATGTTCCAACAATTGTTATTAGATATTGAACACTGGAGCATCAGATGCCACCTGAGAACACAGACTGGTAACTCTGTAAACCGGTCCCTATTGACATTGGTTCAATCCACTGCTGCAACCACAGTGACACATGAAATGGCAGATACAATAAGAAAGAAAGAAAAAAACTACAGAACTTTAAAAATAAATACTATGTGTTTTTTTTTATAGAAGCATGAAGCTTCTGCTCTTGAGTTTGGTTGCTTATCTCATGAAGATAGAAAAGCAAATTAAAGACTCCTTAAAACATAGAGGCTATGCAAAATTGTTGAAAAGACCTGTTCTGTGTGAGAAAAAGGAGCTAGGCTCAAATGTGATAAAAGAATATAAAATAATAAATGGTAGAATTATGCTGTCAACGAACTTATAAAAAGCCCAGAATTCAAGGATAATTGTTTTACCAACAAGGAGTAAACAACAACAAAATTCATTATTACTCCAAATGGATGGAAATAAAAATACATATTAGATTTTAAAATGAATTGATAAATTCATGAGTTAGAAGAGGAAAAAATAAGCAAATAAAGAAGATTAAAATGCTATATCCCATATTCAATGTCTGTGTCAGAAATAGAACTATAAGCTCAAAGACCAGCATTAGGCAAAGCCAAAGGTAGAATAACTCACTGTAGTACAAGTTTCAGTTAAGTTCCAAGATTAACATTAAATACAGTTAATATGGGTATTCGACAAATGTACAACTTAAGACCTCAGATCTAACAATATTTTCTCAGAAAGCAAACTGTGGGTTAATGTGTGTATTATTGATGTCCATACCTGTGTCTTTGTGGGGCCTATGTCCAGGCCTTGTACAAATTTTTCCAAAAAATTCTTTACTGCCTCCCAGGGATAGATACTGTTTGATTCATCACATACAACCACGACATCAATGAGGGAAGGGCAGGCTACATACAAGAAGATAAAAGAAACAGATTTCCGTAAGTAAGTCAGATTTTACACCCAAATAAAAATAAGACTTAAAGTAAAATAGAGTTGAAGGGCTGGGTGGTACTCATTGATACATGTTTTCATTTCCTTCGATGTAAGACATTGCTTAGACTCTCTGTACATTCTTAACTTACTCTGCACTGCTGGTGAAAAGCTGGCCAAGAGTTGAAAATCAGCGCTGACGTCAGAACAAACACCAGTTGTGTAATATTGACTTCCACACTGCTGCGCCCACAGGGGACCACATGTCTTCAAATAAAAAACAAACAAACAAACAAAAAGAGCGCAATGACAAAACATGGATAATGTTAGCCCTCTACCTTCCCATTTGTAAAACTCAGAAATCAATTTATTCTTTTACAAGATACTAGGAATTGTCGACTCTTGAAACTAACAAGTCAAAAATGTCTTTGAGTGCCAGAGTGAACAGAAGCGAAAAAGAAGGTGGCAGACATGCTGTGCCCAATGGCAGCCTCTTGGGAAGAGGGGCACAGGTGTCAGTGTGAGGAGGGGCCCATAGGTCACATGCTAAGCTAGAGAAAAGGGGTGCTTCCTTCCAGAGAACACCCAGAATGAAAAACGAGTGCAAAGTTCAATTTTTGTTCCTCAGTTGGCTAGGTCTCAGGAGCTCCATCTGCAAAATGAGGATAATCATACCCCTATTTTTTTAAGGTGGCTGTGAACATGAAATAGGTCTTAAAACAGTGCTGGCCAAATAGTAAGTGGTATATAATTGCTAGTCAGCATCATTATCGCTGTCATTTTTGAACATTTGTCCTTTCCATTTGCACTATTCAGCAGAAATCATAACCCCACATGCCTCAAGGGCCAGGCAGGAAAACTGGATGAGTGCTCAGGGCCAGGTGTAGACACCAAGGTGAGTGAAGACCCCATGCCTCACAAACAGGGACAGGCCACAGTGGCTCCGGCCCCTTGACTGGTGTGAAACAGGTTTGATGTTGCCAGATCTCTCAAATTTTCAAGGAGAATCAGAGAGGACAATTTTGTGTGAAAATTCATGGTTTAAAAAAAAACACTCTATGTGCTAAACAAATACAAATGAGGTCCATGAACTGCCAGTTTTTAACGTTGCTATAAAGTATTTCTTTGAGGACTTCAGAACTCCTTGTTCCCACTCCCTAAAACCTTCAGTCATCCAGGTTGGCACTTGTCTTCTTGTCCACATCCTTATGTGCTTCAATTCTTAATCTCTACATCAACCCAAACCCAAATCTCTCCTTTTCAGCAGCCCTTGAATGACGAGAGCTCCTGATTAACTCACGGTGAAACCACACAAGAAATATTAGATTAAATAATATTAAAATTGTTAGATGTAAAAGGAAAAAAAATGAGTAAAAGAAGTCCAGTCAAGATCTTAAAAAACCATCTACGAGGTTTAACATTATGTTAAGCTGTGGACCATTTATTAAAACTGAACAGAAAAGTGTACTTGCAAAAAGCAATTGGAAGAATAAGAGGAAATTTATTTGACCCAGTTTAATTGTCAATAGTTCAAAGAAGGAAGCAACTGTAGTCATATTTCATGCTCAATGAACAAAGCTAATTTTTCTCCCTATAAAACTGGTTCATTTTGCCAATTAAGAGAAAATCATAATTAATGCCTTTGGTAGTTTACCAAATAACAATTATTGATTCCTATATCCCCACCTCCAAGTTGATTTTTTTTAATCACCTCAAAAAATAATAACTCATGAAGAATTCAAAAAAAAATTTTTTTTGTTTTAAAAGCAATGGAAAACAGAAAAACCCCACTTCTTTTTTTTTCCAAATTTTTCCCTTTAAAAAATTGAGATAATAAATTAGCATC